TTACCTTCGTCTTACCAATATTAACTTTTAACCCTTTCTTTTCAATAACACTTTTCCATCTGTCAAATTTTAACTGCAATTCTTCCATGCTATCAGCCATCAAGACTAAATCATCTGCATACAAAATCTCAAATAACAACCCCTCCATTATGTTTCCACACACAACATCCATCACAACGGTGATAACACTGATCCTTGATGCACTCCTACCTTAACACTAAAAGCGTCCGACATCCCCCTTCCAACCCTCACCTTTGTCTTTGCCCCTTCATACAGCTGCATCACAGCTTTAACAAGTCTCTCATTCACTCCTTTCTTCCTCAACGCCCATTCAATGACCTTCCTCGGTACTCGATCAAAAGCCTTTTCTAGATCCACAAAACACATGTACAATCTTCGTTTCTTCTTTCTATAATTCTCCTGCAACATTCTCACCATGAACAACGCATCCACCGTTCCCCTACCAGGCATAAACCCACACTGCATTTCATTAACTGTCACCATACTTCTCAACCTCCTCTCAAGCACCCTCTCCACTACCTTCATTCCGTGCTCTAATAATTTCACACCCCTGTATGACCCACAATCTCTCACATCTCCTTTGCCCTTATACAACGGCACCAACACACTGTGTCGCCAATCCTCAGGTATACCTTCATCATTTATAAATTATTTTCTAAATAATTTATAAATAAACTTCAGTAATAAGATTATTGTTTTTATAACATTAAATAAACAAATAAGCTGACACAATGTTGTTATCATTCTTACCCTTAAGAATTGTATCCTGTCATAAAGATTTTTAAAATGAAATCTTATTAAAACGACCGACTAATAAAATTTATAACAACGTGAGATCTAAGTCATAAATATACATCATATTTAATTTCATTAATGAAAAAGTTGTAACAGGATTGATTGATTGATTGATTATTGATTAATTGATTGATGAAAAAATGACTGACGTGTTCTTAGCCTGCCCCTCCGACAAGCACCCATGACCATACAGAGCTGCCTGCTGGTCGCCTAAGATCTAGTTCCAAGAAATAATAATTAAAAAAATAGTAAATTAATTAATTAACAATTAAATATTAAATAGTGAAATATAAGAAAATGAAATAATAAATAGTGAAATAATAAATTACAGAAATGTATGAAAATAGAGAAAAGAAACATGAATGACTACAAAATAACTCAAGACGTTTGGACTATCATCTATCCACTAATAACTCAACACCAATACAATAACAGAGATGAGAACTTTCAACTTTTAAAGTTATGAGATGAATAAACATACTCGCAACTTCAATTTTCACTTGCAGAGTTTTGAAAAGTTACAAATTGAAAACTAAAATTTTTTAAAACTCTCACTCCACTAATAGGCACGCCATCCAACTTCCCGCCAGACATTCGTCCATAGATCTCACAGGAGGAACGAATTTCTGGCAAAACGTTCTGAGGTATTCCAAAGAATCTGGTCATCATAATAATTAAATTAATCAGCATTAGCAGCGCTTTTAATAAACTAAAATTCTAAAAACGATGGAACTGAGCAAATTCACTGACTCGAGTAAGACAGGGTCCCAAGTGAGCGAATAAATATTCATAAGCATCGTTCGACTGGCGTTTGTAACGTCGGTGAGAAATTTTCCAGATTTTGAACCTCCAGTCAAGTTCTTCATTTTAAATTCATAGTTTACAATTTCTCATACAAAAACAATTAAAAAAGCACACTGAAAAGAAGTTACAGTTACCCATAAAAGCCAGGAATCGACGGTGGAAAATCTGCAGACACCATCGCGCATGGCAGACTGAACTTTTTCCGAGCTGTCAATCAGCCACTTCATTTTTACAGCACTGAAGTACGTGGATAGTGGGAGGCCACATCTAGGCTTCCGGTGATAAAGTTCGGTCACGTCAGTTACATCAGTCGCATCAAACCATATATGCGCATGCATATGAAATAATGCTGAAATCATATTAGGGTGGCAACATGTCTTTCAGTAACAACAACGTAACACTGCATTAAATTCAAATTAGGCTGCATAATGTAAACAATTTCATCAGTGTATAAGCTATCATGACAAACAATATAGAATTTATGAAATGTAAAATTCATAGAATATTGTAACAAAGTGTGTGCCAACTTACTTGATACTTAAAGCCTGTAACAAAAATAAAAATTAAAAGTAAACCACTTGATATTCACCTTCAAATGGTTCTTGTCTCGGCCTGGAATTTTTTTCAGAAGTTCATTTACTGTGTCTGTTGTTCGCGTGTCCAGCCACACTTTGATGTGTTTGAGGTCAATTGTTATAGCAATTCATCACTTTGTATCACTTATTATACTTGCAATCTATTTGTACAGATCACAAAATGTCTACGTATGATCAAATGCTACTTAGTTGAATTGTTTGACAGAATGTTACTATTTGTGCCTGTCCCAACTTGAAATTCATTCAAATTCATTCATTATGTAAAAAAACATTCAAGTGTGTCTACCTGCTGAATTCACACCAACCAACTTGCTAATTAAGAATTCCAATTTTATAACTCAACAGAACTAGAAGGTACGTGCAATACATATCATATCGGTGAGATTTTTAAAGAAAGCATTCTAAATATAACGCAAATTTCAAGCTCAAATTAATGAATAATTTAATTCCATATTGGTTTCATCATGTCAAGAAAAGGAAATATAAAATTATTTGAACACCATATGAAACTTGTTGAAAAACTTACAATTTCAAAAATTTCTAACATCTGATATTTCATTATAAGAAATCTATATTTGTGTTGAAGCAAATTAATCAGCTTTAAAATATAACACTCTCACTTTCAAGCATTAAAACTGAACAATTTATTTTTTGATTATGGCCAACATATTATATAATAATTTTATAGGTACAACTCGGTATGATTATCATTTGTACAATTGTTTTGTTCTATTTAGAAAAAAATATAGAAAAAAACACCATATCAGCCTGATTTAAACTACATAATCATAGTCATAAACAATTTATTTTTCATTTTCCTATGATTTGTTTAGAAAATGGTGAGAACATTAACAACAATCAAATGAAATTTTGGTTCAAAGAACAGGAAAAAAATAATAAAAACAAAAGCGTGGGTGTTTGATCTAACCAATTGCATTGTGTAGTGGCTTTCCTGTGGAGATGTCGAAAGCGACTGTGGTTTCTCTCTGATTTGTTATGCCAATCGCTGCAGTATATTATTTACAATGACATTCACATTTGACATCAGCAAAAAAAATGTACTCAATCAATGACTTAATTTCCTTTAACCTGAAATTCTAAATTGAAACATGCAATGTAAATGGAAGGAGTGCCAACTTTGAATGCACAATGGACTGATGTCCAATTTGATGAGGTTGTCAAGAGCCTGATCGATGCATGCATTTATTGAGTCTAATATTTCTAACGGGTCTTCCTCAACCCACCTGAAAATATTTTTTAAAATACTTTTTTTGATACTACATATATATTCAAAGTTTGTTTGCAGTAAATTAAACAGCAGCAGCAACAACTCATTCCTAGTGTTCCTTATTCAGATAAAACAATTTGTAAACATTACTTTGTGACTTTAAAAAATAGTCATCAAATACAGACGGCCAATGGTTTAGCTCAGGTAACAACGATATAAAATCTTATTCACCGATCGTGACATGGACTTAATTTTATATGTGCAAACTCAAATACAATATTGACCAACTACAATATATGTTTTATACACACACTCAACAGAAGTTTTTGATGCAAATATTTAAAGACTTTTCCGTTAATCCTTGACAGAGGGTATAGTATATTTGACGAATTGCATGCAGGCAGTTGGAAAGTAAAAGACCATCTGCATCTCTTTGCCATTAAGTAAAATACTATGGAGGCTTTGTATTTCTAAAACTGTTGTTCCATGTCATAGTTTGGTAAAGAGTGGGGAGCTAAGCATTCCCATTTCTCCATCCTCCTACCTGCATTCAGTATCCATGACATGAACATCTCAGTGAGACAGATATATAACCAACAAAATAAAAAAACCTTTGAAAAGCTCTCCAGAGTTGAATAAATTAAAAATTAATAATAGCAATAATAATAGTAATAATAATAGTAATAATAATAGTAATAATAATGATAAAGATAATAATAATAATATAAACAATTGAAATATTGGCCAAGAAAAAAAATTTAAGTATAATAAAATTATAAAACTTGAGTCTGAGTAGTTATACTAGCTACCGGTTTGCAGATCTTTAAAATATTAAACAAATGACAATCTATCTATATTTTAAAAAACCTCAATGTCTGTCTGCTTAATTTTATGAATAAATTATGAAACAATTATGAAAGTTCGTGATTGTGGACAGCTGATTATCAGATTTGTACATTAAAGATTGGTTGACTACAATACACACTATCAGCTAGTAACAAAATCATATTGCGCAATCGCATCAACATTAATTCAAAAATCTCGTTAGGGTAACATTATAACAAACAATCATTCAAACATTATAGATAGCTGCAAAATAATTAAAAGCTATAAGCAGTGTCAATTTAGGTTAGTTAAACATTTCTAACATTAATAAAAAAACCTTATAACATATGAAATAATAAATTGAACAATAATAACTAAAAGTTAACAAGTTAAAAAATAACTATAGGTTAACTAACAGTAACAATAAAAACTAAAAATAACTAACAAAAACAGCTGAACAAAAAATAAAGATAAAATTTAAAATATTATAAATAAAAAATTGTAAGAGGCACATTTTAATGACACAATTTAAAGTTCCAGTTGAAGAAAAACTGGTGCAAAAAATAAATTTGCAAACTTGAGTTAACAGATGAATATCTTCAAAAACGTTGATCTAAGGATGATATAAATATGACTACGATTTGAAAATTTTGACAATATAAAATTAGAAATTTCTGAATTTCAACATTGAGACTTTAATGAAACAAGTTTACAAATTACTAAAATAGAAGGTAGAGGATAGAAAGGCCACACAAAATGAAATGCATAATTTAAAATGTTTCCAAATGATTAAAGTGCAGTTGCATGGATCAAAGTCTGAAAATAATTTAAGATTTAATCAGTGCAAGAGCCAACAATTAACAAAAGGAATAAATAAGTTTGAAAATAATAAATAATAAGTATAAAATCAGTGTCACTGAAAAAAAGATGGATAAAATTTACAAACACTGCGATAGCACTAACTTGAATAATGAAACCAATTTTTTTTATTATTAATAAATTCATAGTGATAAAATGAGAGTGTTGAAACCGAGTGCAAAAAAGTTAAGTGTTTAAACACACAGCAAACATGCCTAATTATAGGTTGATTCAAACTGGAGAGGAAGAGAAACTGGAAAAGAATAAATCAAAAAACATGAGAGGAAATAGATGGACAAGAGAAGAAACAAAAAATTCAACAAAAATGGCCAGAGTAGAAAACTGACACAAAAGGTGGACACCAAGAGCCAACCTCTGAAGAGATGGAATAGGATCATTGACAAATTTGATGATTTAGTAAAATAATAAATTAGAACATGAAACAAACCTGCCAAAAAATGAATATAAGTAACTAATATAAACACATAAATATATTTCATTTATAATATATATTCACAAATAAATATATAAATAATCTTAAAAATTTACTTGTAAAATAAATATGAAAATATAATTGTAATAAGTAGATGAAAATTCAAATAATGATAATAATAATAAAATAAGCCAACCCTTTTTCAGGATAAGATGCTTTTATGTCAATCTGGTGATATGTGACTAACTCTGAAGTTTTTGTATCAAATATCTGTTTTACGGTTTAACTTTTATATTTTATAATTTTATAAAGAAAATTGAAATTAATATATAGAAAAAAATCTATCCACCTATACATTATTCATAAAATTATTATAATAACTAATATAAAAATATTAATTTAAATTTTTAAAGTTCTGCAGATCTATGATTTGTTTTAAAACATTATTACAAAGTAAAAAAAATTTAAAATAATTTCAATGCAAACTTTTCCAGCAATTTCAATTTGAATTATTTAATAATTCAAATTAAATTAAAATTATAACTATAATATAATATAATATTATAATAATTATTATTATAATATTATATTATAGTTATAATTTTAATTTAATATTATATTTTACTTTTAATAATTTAACATTTTTAACAAATTAATACTAATTACTAAACTATAACATCTGAATAACTATATATTTATATAATATAATTATAATAATTTAATTTTTTTTAAATTTTTATAAATGAAAAATTTTATTCTTGAAAAAAAGAAAAAAACTCTCACTAAAAATCTGGAGCTACTTGTTCCTTGGTCAATGGCCCCGACAAGAACTTTGTTAAAATTCATATTATGTATTAATTATTTTGTTTATTTTTTAAAATTTCAATTTAATAAAAAAAAATCTACGGTGTCATCAACAACGTGACAAACATGTTGCCGTCGAGTGTTACGATTGTTACCATTGATAACCTTGCAATTACATTCACTTTTAAATCATCTATTGAACTTTGGAATTATATACGTTAATAGTTAGAGAACAAAATGAGTTATTAAACGACGAAATGTCATTATGATGAGTATGAAAGCTTTTTAAATGTTTTATTTATTACTTCCTATCAAATTTTTAAACGAATAATTTGAGCTAAATATTTTCATTTGAAGTTTTATGATAATTTTGATGCTTAACCTTTATGGATAGCCTTTAATACAAATCCATGTGGTGCATCAACTGACCTATAACTTGTCGTGTTATTAAAATTTATAAATATATTACAATATGGTCGTTTATGAAATACAAATATATGTAGATGCAAACAAATATATCGAATATATGAATAATAATAGAAGATGCTACTGATTCATACCCATTCATACTTATTTTCCTCCATCTGATCTCAATAGAGCTCTTTATAATTTATTTCTATTTCTCTTTTCCATTTCTCTTTTCTATTTCTCTTTTCTGTTATCGCTTGGTGTGACTATTTATCTTAAACTAAATATGTCTAAATTTGAATTAATGTTGTAATAAGTCTAAACACGCTGTTACTATTCATTCTATTATCTTACCTGCTGATTTATATTTATGTAGTCTAGGCTTTATCTTTAATTCTAACATGTCACTTTTCTCAGATTAACTGTTTTGCTAAAAGTTCTTACTTTCATCTACCTAGAAAAAAAAATTTTTGATGATCCTACTCCTTATCCTGCTTGTTACTTCATTAGTTTTATCTATGATTTATTTTGTAACTCGCTCTGTTTTAGTCTTGTCTTGCTGATTTTAGACTATCCTTTAAGTAAAGCTTTTAACTCTGCTGCCGTCTGGTTGCTCGTGCCTGTTGGATGGCAAATCCTAACGACTAAAACTAACAATCCTCAAAATAAATAAAAACATCACATACTTATGAAGTGAATCGTGCGAGTTATATATTCTGATAGGAATTCGGGACGCTGATGAGTCTCCGGTATGGACGAAACACGTGACCAGCCTGTCCAAACGAGTACTATTGTTTTCGCTCCTGCTTACTGCTTTTCTTGGTTTGGTGTTCTCTTACATTTGCACAACCGCAACATGTCCCTCTCTTTTTTCATATTTATCTCCATATTTTGTTTTCTTGTTTCCTTTAAAATTTGTACAAGTCTCAGTCCAAATTGTTTCCTTGAATGCTGGTAGGTTATGACATTAAGATTTAGTAATAAAACTGATATTGAATGGTTGTATTAGATTGGGTTTTGTTTTATTATTCTCTAAAAATCAGGATCTGACAGACGCAGAAACAGAGCATGCAAGGCAATAGTACAAAATTAAACAAATATGTAAATAAATAAATAAACGGAGAAAGAAAAATGTTTAAACATGAAAAATAAAATAGAATAGAATAAAATAAATAATAATAATAGAATAATTAAAAGAAAATAAAATAAATTGACAATAAAATGAAGTAATGGCATAAAAACGGAAATTAATAGCTAGATGATGACTTAGTGAGTTATTGAGGTGATCGATAAATAGAAACTAGTTTTGTGAATGATAAAGTTTTATAGTTTTATAGAGTGTTAATATGTTTGAGGTGCCTTGTGATGAAAGTCTTTCCCTGATATGTAGATTGGGTGGCGACTTGATAGTTATGTCATTCTATATATTCAAAAAGGCATTTGCTATAGCGAGTTTAATTTTAATGAACTTTTGTAAATCATACGAATCTGCGTTTTTTATTTTGTACATGTAATTACTTAGGTCTAATTTAATTTATGGGTTATATGTTTGGTCATCGTGGGCAATGCGAGAAATACTGACTTTGGAACGAGTTCAGAAAAGAGCCACCTAAATGATAAAACGCTAGCATTTTAAATATGTTGCCAAACTGAAATTTTTGAAATTTTCTTGCTTTCTTTGCTACTAGTTTGAACTGAAATTGGATGTTTTTTTTATGGATATATATATATACATGTGTTTTTTGAAAAATTTAGCGTAGGTACCATGGATATAAGTAGGTACAATCATTTAATTGCTGTTGTTTATATCTTTGCAATTTTTATTATTGAAATGTATAATATTTTTAAATGTGTAAATCTCTGAAGTTTAGTGGTGAAAACCCTATCCATTGTAATTAACTGTTTTTATAATGTTTCCAATAGTGGATATGGATTTCGGTTTATTGACTTTTGAATTTGAGCCATATAAATAGAAAACATGAAAACAGGAGCCCAAGAGTTTCATGTATTGTATTTAAATTAAGTCAAAAATTATGTTTGTAGTATTTTACCAATCAGCTTTAAACATATTTTATTAAATAATGACTAAGCTCATGGTTTTATATATAGAATAAACTAGACTAAAACCAGAACATTTCGCCATATATATTAAATATATAAGGTATTAATGGCATTATGCATTCATCTTATTACACATTTAGTAACAAAGGCGCTCCATAGAGTTCAGCTCTTCGTATCTGAACTTTCGTGTTTTTTTTTTTATATAATTAATCTAAGCTGGGATGGAACGGCTGATTTGATTTGAGTGAAATGAAAATAAAGTTGTTCTCGTCGATTTTTTGATGAATTCATTTAGAGATTAGTTCTGTTGTCGTCATCGATGTCGTCCATGTTTTGCACGTTTCGTTTTTTCTTCGCTTGTTCACTGTTAGATGGTTGCTTCTTGCTAATTAGTTAATTAAATGATCTGATGGAGAAGATCACTGCACTGCAGCAAACCAAACAAACCAAACAGAAGCACTGCTGATCTTTATTTGTCTATCCGCATTTTAAATCAAATTTTAATTTTCGAACATGATATTTTGTTCGAATTCATCATCCTAAGTTTTAAATTAAGAAAAAGAAAAAGCATTGATTATTTCAGAATTTGTAAACAATGGCTCATCCAAAATCTTCCAGGGTCAGTATCATTTATTATTATTTTTATTTATTATTTATTTAAGTTGTTTTCATAAAAGGTTAATTTTTACTTTTTTTTAGAAACATGTAACTCATTATTAATATTATTATTATTAATTATGCTATACAAAATCCCATCTAAATGTAAATAAATAATAAACATTCAATAACATCAAAATCTATTATTTTATTTTTGTTAAAATGTTAATTATGATGTTATTATTAATAATTGTAAAAAAACATACAGAAATAGAAACAATGCATTATTTTATTCACCAGTTGCATTTCAATGAAAGCATAAGATAAAAATAAAACTTTTGTTTTGCTGATATGATACTGATTAATCATTGACTAACATTTAATCTGGTACTATAAAATAAATAAAATGCATGTTTATATTTTATATATTCAATTTTCAAATATTGAATTGCTTAATTTACCATTTACCTCTCTAACCTAACTTTGTTTAACTAAGTTTGAAAAATTATTTTAAAATGTAAGTAAGTCTGTATTTATTTTTACATTTTAATGTTTAATACATGGATACAATTATAAACTTATTTAAAAAAATGTTGTTATTAATATAATTTTAAAGAAATAATTAATTAATAATTGTTCTAGGGAATAAATTAAAATGGTAACATAATTTTGTAAGTCAGATTATTTACAAGATTAGTCTGTTTATAAAATGATGTTTTAAAATTTAATTAGAGAATATTATTAATTAGTTTGATCTATTTTATGTTTATATTCAGTTACATCAGTAATTTATTCAAGATACCAAACATTAATTTTAAATTAATTCATGTTAAAATTTTGAAAAAGTTTAAAATTTATTATTTCAAATTTAATTAATAAATGTTAAAAATTTAAATATTCAAGAGCATGGTTCCACTGTACATAAACTCTATGTCCCAATCTCGATCCTTTAATGAGCCTCAGGTCATAGGGCAGTACAGACTCATCAAAACCATTGGTAAGGGTAATTTTGCCAAAGTGAAGCTGGCCAGACATTTCCCAACTGACAGACTGGTTGGTTCTTTCATTCTTTTTTTAAATTTTCTTTCAACCTGTTGTTTAATATAATGGTGCGTTATAATTAATTATTCATAAATGTTTTCTGAATGTTGTAGGTAGCAATCAAAATCATTGACAAAACCAAATTAAGCACATCATCTCTGGACAAGGTCAGTTTTTTGTGTGTATATTATAATTTAATGATCAAGTTGAGTGTATCCATATTTGTTTCTATTTTTGTTGAGACAAGTTTGTTTATAAATATGTTTTTGTTTTCTGTGCTGCTTGGAGCATTAAAAGCATTACCTTGGATTGGATATGACCTGGAAATCATTAAACTGTCAACTGAGAGAAACATCTCTGCAAAGACAAAATGCTGCTATAAATTTTTATAAATGCTGTCATTGAGCTGGTTCATGTTGTGCTGCTGTGGTTGCGGTTGATGTTTGGCTTAACAATATGCATGCTGAGTGGATGGATGTTCACTGTATTTAAAAAGCTTGTTTGTAGAATATGTTGAGACTTTTAATTTCTGTTTCATTCTCATATTTTGATTGCACTTTTTCAACATTCTGATGGCTGACATTTTTCAATGATAGGATAATCATTATTTTAAACATTCAGTTATTTTTTAATTAATTGTTCAACATAGCTTTTATTAATGATGATGAAAATGTTTCTGCTGAAACTGATCATAATGAGTGCAATATGATAACAATAATAATCTTTGCAATCACATCATTCAATAATGATGATGATGGCTTAACTGGGCTTACTTGTTTAGAATGCATGTTTTTGCAGCTTCATCAAACAAATTGGTAAGGCCTATTAATAGCTTGTGCCATTGCTACTCAAAAAAACATGTTAACTTGAGGAATTTGTAGCCTGTGTTACCAGTGCAAACCTATTTACATGCCAGTGTGTTTACCAATCAATATATTTTGGAATAATTCCATGGACCAGTCCTCTTAATAACATTTACTGTACTATGGGTTTTATTTTATTTGTTCTATATATATATATATATATATATATGTGTGTGTGTGTGTGTGTGTGTGTGTGTGTGTGTGTGTGTGTGTGTGTGTTTTAGTCAGGTGTATTTTTCAATGTTCTGTTCTGACTGTTTCTTTGTTGTTGTTGTGAGTCAGAGTCAGATAGAAATTTGTGTGCAGTTGTTTGTTGGCTGGTTCTCATATTGGTTTAAGTTTTGCAGTTGTTGTTGTTGGTTTTCACATTTGTTTGAGTTTTGTGGGATGGACTGTACAGCAGCAATAAATCAGACTGTGACTGTCAGCAGAGTTGAAATGAAAATATATGTTTGTACTATATTTACTCAACTTTATAAACTTGTGGCATTTTGTCATTTTATTTCTCTAACTCATCACCTCTGTTTTAAAAAGTTATAAATCATTTAATATTTAATTTGCTTAAAGCAAAACCAAATAATGGCTTAACTATATTTTTATAACATTATTATGTCTACTGTTATGTAGCTATAGACATTGCTATGTTGGCATAGCTACTTTCACTTCAGCTTACAGACTTGCTTATAAATTGCTCTGAATGAATTTTCTTACTGTTTACATGTTTTTTAAATGTGTTTGCTATTTTAGTTGAAGTTTTGGATTCAGTATCAGTTGTAAACAAAAGCGTTTGCATCTTATTGTTTGCACTGTTTTTAAAATATGGACATAAATCTCTTTCAGAATTGCTTTTCAAAGCAAATCTTCAGAAAGAGAAATTGAAACGTTACTAGACATCATTAGCGTGGAAGCATATTAGCATTCAAGCGCACCGACAGACATGTAAACAAACTGAACAAAAGTACAGGGCAAGTAAACCAGTTTGGATGCTAGCATAGCAAAGTAAAAGAGATACAATACAAACAACCATCAAATAAGATGCATTGTTTAAATGCTCTCATCTCTTATATGGATTAGGACTAACTATTTATTGCTTTCTTTTTTAACTTTTTTGTTGCTTTTCTTCCTGCCATGTTATCTTAGCATACATATTTTTTACATTTTCACAGTAAGGTAATAATTTCTTTATAATTATTAAGTGTTGAACTCATGTAAATTTCTTTAAAATATTAAAGCTTAATTCAGCGGTCAAGCGCATGGTTGGGTTAAAACATTTTGTAGGGATAGGTTGAGACATGAATAGTAAATAGTCAATGGATCAATTATAGCCTGTAAGATATGTATTTTTAATTATCATCTAATTCACCTTTCTGTTGGGCTACTTTTTGAGTCAGGCTATTTTACATTTTTCATCTGTTTTTTTTTAAATTTTCTTTTTTTTGGTATTATCTTTAAAATGTTTAACATTCAGCTTCTTGTCTCATGAAGTTGTACGATTTTTTTCGGTTTTTGGTTATATTTATTGGATTTGTTAAGATTTCAGCTAGCTGTAACAGTGTGAATTCTCAAATTCGTATAGCCAAACGTTTGATGTGCAATTCTATAAAAAGCACTACTTAATCAGTTTCATTGTGTCATCTGTTTGTTGAATTATAGTTTTCATTCTCTGACTCTTATTTGCATCTTTTAGTTAGTTGGTTTCTCAGCATCTCCATCTGTTGCATCTGTTGCATCTGGTTTTTCATTTGTTTGTATTCATTTTTGTTTCTCTGGGTCTTTCACTTGTTTTGGTGATAGGACTCAAGAAATAATATTGATACAACCATCTTTGTGGAAGCGTGATGTGTTTAGTTAGTGGAAGTCTCTGCCTCTTTGACAAGAGATTTTTTAATTGTCTATGTCCATTGAGAAACAGTTTAGCGTACATGCGGTTCCAAGTTTCAAACAACGTTATGAAAATACCACCTTGTTGGGCATGATATTAAATTATGGAAATGTAAGTAAGATGTTGGCATATGCATGCAGGTTCATCTGGAAACACATTGTGCTGTCCTTGTTGCTGAAGAACGTTGCAAAATGTGAAGGCATTAAAGTTAATGTGAGGATTGATAGCCCTGCTTATATGGAACGTTATTACTTAAGTTTGTATTTTATAATCCCTAACAAGCTCAACTATTGAGTTCATTGTCATAATGAGTCTCAGAAGAATGATTGTAATGATATGTATTCATTCTTACAGTGCTACACTGAAACCGATGAAAAAGGTTTTTGAAAAACTATTTCTTTTTATATATTACATCAATCTATTTTGTGATGATGTTATTTTGAACTTTGTTGATTTTCAATTCAACAGTTATTTCGAGAAGTGAGAATAATGAAGACATTGGATCACCCAAATATTGGTTGGTATAACTGCATGTGTGTTATATTGATGTTTGACTGCCGTTGTATGTTTGTTTCTGCATTTTCGTAAATACATTTTTTTGTGAAACTTTTTGTTTTGTATTTTAATAAATAGTATGGATAGACAGTTATTTATGATTGAAGTGTAACTGCTGATATTTCAAATAGTAATAATATTGCTAATTTATTTGCAATAGTTTCTTTGATAGAGCGCCCATGTATATCTTAGTAGATATACATGGGCGCTCCAACAAAACAAGTGTTATACAATTTTAAATGTGTATATAACGATGATGTATTTTGTTGTTCCTGCAGTCAAATTGTATGAGGTCATTGAAAATGAGAAATGCCTCTTCCTTGTCATGGAGTATGCCAGCAGAGGTTGGTATTTTCTAAATTTATTCTACCTCCAATTATTGCACATTATATTTTTTCTTGTGTTTACCTTGTTAGGTTGTATATTGTTTGTGTGTACTGATATACTGTGTACTGTGTTTACTGTACTGGTATTAATTTTATAATTGAAAATGCTCTTCAAATTTTTTTTTTCACCATTAAATGAAAGTAATAAACACATGATTCGCCTACCACAATTATATTGAGATAACAAGGAGGACAGTGGTGTCCGATGTTATCCCTCCATGGTAATGCAACTGCTGTTTACTTTATAACAATGGTATTGTTTTTCTTGGCTGATCACACTAATCCATCATTCTTTCTGACACATAGAGACAGAGGTATATACGCACACATATACACATGCATACAAACACATGCACATACAGACACACATACAGACACACACACACACACAGGCCTAGCGGTTGAGAAGGTTGTTTGGGTTGGAATCTATTTGCATCAACAACAAAACCAATGGACGGGCTACAACAGCACTTGTTGTACACACAACACACACATACACATACCTATATACTTCACATGTATTATGAATTTATATATCTTCTCAGTATCTGCACCAACTGGGATTTGTGCTTGCCTGTGTTTGATTGATTGTAAAAAGGGAAGGGTGACTGTTATTTAATAATGACGTGTGAGGAGACATCTGTCTACATATAAAAAGGTCTATTTGGACATGTAAGCAGTATTAGGATGCATTACTTACTCTTGTTCACTTGCATATTATTTATTAGCCTTTGCAATTTTTAACAGGTGGAAACTCTCTCTTTCCATGATGAATGGATATTTATCTTTATGAATTCTCATTATATAGACTTCTGTTTGTGTATTTGGAGGACTACCATGTTTGTATGAATACACGTCAGTTTGGGAGATTGTATGTGTACACGCGCGTTTGTGAGCTTGTGCGTGCAGTAGCCTGTGGAATTTTTTTTTCAAGAAGTGACTCCATGGCATTCAAAATTTTTCACAAACAAAACTTTTTTTTATATGATTGTATTTTCTAATATCCTTTTGATTGTTTGAAGATTTTTAAAAATTTGTATAAAGTTTTTCACAAAAGGTTCTCTTGAGAAAATGTAAACGAACAATCATTTTAAAGTGGTTATTTCGCCGGTTATAACTTTTAAGATCAGACATTTCTTTGTATCAGTTGCAAAAACAAATGTTCACTTCTTATATTATGTTGAGTGAAAACAATTTGTCATCATGCATTTAAATGTATAATATCTTGTTTGTTAACATTGCGGATGTGTTTGTGTGTGTGTTTGTGTGTATGTGTGGGTGGGTTTCTCCATATATGTGTGTATGTATCTGCTCATGTTCTGTCTATATTCATTCGGAGACTTTTTTATATTTATTTATTATGTACCAATCAGAATCACTGAATGTTTACTTGTTTATATCATTGTGTTATGCCATTTTGGTTGCATTACCCCTACATTCATCACCATCTTTATCATCGCTTATCATCATCGTTCATCATCATCCTCACCCATATCTTTGTTATCACATCAGCCACGTTATTAACATCATCTTCACTCACATCTTAATTATCATTCATGACAACATCACCACCATCGTTGATATTGATTTTGTCATCATTATTTTCATCATCATCCTCCTCCGTCATGATCCTCATAATAACCGTTATCAATGTCATATGACGTCATTGTCGTCATCATTATTCATTATATCATCACCTTCGTCAGTGTCACCCATTTCATCATCATCATCTTCATCATCATCCACAGGGGAGATATTTGACTACTTGGTGGCTAATGGAAGGATGAAAGAGAAAGATGTGAGGGCAAAGTTCAGACAGGTTTGATGTGAATTATGTCGTGAATTGTATAGTGAATTGTGATGTGAATTATGTTCTGAATTGTATCGTGAATTGTGTTGTTAATTATATCATGAATTTGTTTGTGAATTATATCATGAGTTGTGTTGTGAATTATATCATGAATTGTGTTGTGAATTATATCATGAATTGTGTTGTAAATTGTATTATGAATTATTCTATGCATTGTGTGGTCAATTATATTTTAAATCATTTTGTGAATTATATTATGATATTATGATCTTACTCATTTACTTATCATTTCAATGCATGCCTGTTGTGATGTTCACATGTGTTTGTAGTCGTGTTGTTTGTTGTTTCTGCATCTCTCCATTTAAAAAATTATGTTTTGTATGTTTTTGTGACCATAGTTAATAAAATCAAATTTATTTTGTGTTATTCACACTTTTATGTTTTACTTATTAACAGTGAGTCATATTTTTGAATATTCCCAAACCTCATAACATGAATGCAACATGAATCAAAATATTTTCAAATATTGAATGAAATTTGTAATTATGTGATAAAAATAATCATTTAGTTTGATGAAGATTGATTGATTGATTGATTGATGAAATAATCTCCACTCCAATCAACAACACATGGTGTTTGCTGTTTGCTCTTAAACAAACTTCAATGAATGATTGAATTATAAACTGACCAACCACATTAAAGTGAAGTTGAATTAAGTGGCCAGCTAAGAAAGTTGAGTCGAGTTGGACAGATGTGAGTGATGAGATAAGAAGGAAGCTACTTCCTGATGAGCTCTGCTTATGATGATGGATGTTATTTTTAATATGGAAAGCTGAGCCAGGTGTAATGTGGTGTGATGTGCTGACTGCAATGAGGTGTGTTGTAATGTGGTGTGGCGTTCTGACTGTGATGGTAAGTAATGTAGTGGGGCATAGTGTGGTGTGATGTGGTGTAGTATGCTGACTATGATGAGGTGTGTTGTAATGTGGTGTGGCATGGTGTGCTCGGTGCTATTTTTTTATTTTTTGTGATTATTTGGCTTAAACTTTTTCAATTAGTTATATTTTGGAGTCATTTTTTAATATTATCATAGTGAAATAACTGTTACTGTTTCGGTAACTAAAGCAATCTCATTCAAAGTTAAATGGTTCTGTGGAACATTTTCATTAAGAATATTTTTCTACAAATCCGTATTGAATTTCATGAAAGAAAAAAAGCAATTATATATAAAAAGCAGGCAATTACTTCTGTTTCTGGCTCTCTTTTTGAGTTCCATTCAAAGCAGTAGATGCTGGTTAAATAGATTTGAAAGTTTTTTTTATGTGTGTTCGTGTCTGTGTATCTGTGTGCGTGTGTGTGCGCGCGCGCGTGTTTCTTTGAATAATGTAAAATTCTACACCAGCTGTTCTGTATATATGGTTGTTGTTGTAGAGATTTGTTTTTCATGTGATGAAAAAAAGGATCAGCATCAGCATGAGAATTCTAACTTGATCTGTTGGATGGCATATATTTACAACTGCTGGGAATTTATTTTTGCTTAATTTGTCCAATTGCATTGGCATTCATTACTTCATTACTCTTTAATGCAGTAATTATTATTATTGTTATTATTATTATAGTGTCATTATATCAGCATGCTTTGTAATGTTATCATCATTCACTAGCCATTAGTCATTTGAAACAAACTGTATAGCCCATTATCACCATGTGTGTGCAGGCATCAACATTATCATCAACATATTCATTATCATCAAATTCATCCTCAATATTTGTCATACGCATTTATATCATCAATGTGGTTGACTAATATTTATACCATTTTTCCATTGTTCATATGTTTATTATTCACAACTTATATACATGCATACATGCATGCATAAATTTGATACGGCATACGATACATTCAATTTCCTTCCAAGAGTTTTTTAATTTTCTGAGCTCTAACAATATACTCATGAATGAAGAATTCAACTGAATTGCAAATAAATTGTCAAATGAATTTACATCATTAACTAAAAAATATAAAACTTTATTTACAACAATCTACCTGTCAGCCTGTTATTATTATACACACAAAACGAAACTAAATATATTTGCTTCTTAAAATTGAAAAATAAAAGAAAGTAGGGTTACCATAATAGAATTTATATAAAATTCATTTTGTATGGCTATCTAAACACAAATGTCCCATGTTTCGGCAAAAAATTTCAGCAACTAATGAAAAAAAATTTGATATAATTCATGAGAGGCATGTTAGATGTTAGTTGTTAGTAAATGAACAAACTCAACTACGTTTACAAAACAGGTGTTAATGGCTAGTACGATGGTTCTGGGGTTAATTTAAAACAAATGTTTGATTTCTATCCAGAAAAACACTGGATTGGCATTACTTAGTTATCTATATATTAAAGCAATATATAGAATTACAAAATTTTAAAAGTTAGGGACCGATTAATTCACGATTGGTCATTGTAATTCAACAACAGAAACGATTTTAATTTCATTTTAAAGTTTACAGACATATTTTCACAACAAAAGCCATTTTTCAAAATTTGATTCTACGCTCTAGGACTCTTACATACAACATGCAAATACAGAATATTTGTCTTAGATTTATTTGATTAAGAATCCCCACCAATTGGGTAGTTCTAAGACCAGTTTGCGAACCGCATGTACGTCCGCCAAATTAAATATGGTACAATTTTTCCTTGGTTTCTTCCAACATTAAGGTCAGAGCACATTTGCTGGCCAGCTTTTTTCAAAAATTTACTAACGCAATGGGTCTAACCCCTCCATATTTTTAAGTCAACGACGGCGGCGGTTGGACAGGTGCCAGATAAAATCAAATTTATGAATTGGGTTAAGGAGCTTAAATTCTCGTCGATTGGTAGTGGGTCTGAAATCGAATCTTTTATGTGCTGAGGCCTCAGGCAATCGATGCCGCTGGAGGAACCGTTTTTGAATGACTTCGGAGCCGCCAACACCTGAGTAGGTGAAACGCACCCACTTGTGGTTTCCTGTCTTATGGTGCCTGGGGATAAATGGTATTGAGTTTTGACAATGTCTCAGGCGAGCCCTCCGCCAGACGCTCGGAGGAACAGACAAGTCTGACGACCGCCGAAAGTTTGCCCTGTTTTATACGGGCGGACACGGCTTGTATCCAACTGTTTGGGTTATTTTTTCAAGGCTTTATGCTGTTGTCGTTTTCAAAGCCAGTCGCGATTGACTCAATCCTCAAAGTCCAATATTCCGTCAAACGTTTGTTAACGTGGTTACCTTGATTGAACTTTTAACCCCCTCTGCTAGGCTTATCAAGAGTATCTAGAAAAAACAATGGAGCCTATACCAGTGTGTTAGGTCATAAGAAGCGTCAAATCTTGTTTTTCGACCGCTTTCATGGAACCAGGGCATTCTTGTCCCTTCTTTCCCCCGTGCCGGTGTAGCTTTCCGCCTGGTCTTAATTTGTAGTGATAAAAAATTAGTGCATTTATGTAATACCGGAGCCATAATTAAATATAGAAAATAGAACTATGGATAAAATAGAAGAAAAAACTGTAAACACTGTTGTATGTATGTGTGTATTCAATTCAAATATGTGTGTATTCAATTCTTTTATTAACCAGAATTAACACAAACGAAAAAAATTTTTGAATAACATTCGGGCTTCGAGACCAAGCAGGTTCACTTAAATGAACTTTACAGGCTACCATTATGAAAACTAGTACACATTTATATACGTGCATAAATAAGCTGTAAACAAAAACAAATGAAAAAATCACCATAATCATCCACACCCTAAATATTCAAAGTAAAAATTAAAAATTTTCCCAAATCAAACAGAGAAATACAAGCAATTTATAACGAAATATTATATTATTATTATTATTAAAGAAAAATTTATAAAGCGCCAATTAAAAGTTAAAATTCTCAAAAGCGCTATCTAATATCTATAAAAAACAAATGAAATATAAGTGAGTCGGCAATGCAAACATTAAAATATATATATATATTTGTCCATTCATTTTAAAGCTCCTGATAAAAAGTTAGGTGTTTTAAGACAAATGAATGATTATGTTCAACCTTACCCTAGATTAGTAATTTATAAATTATCGGTTTTCTCTAGAAAAAATTATCTATCAAATCGTAAACAATATGTAGCTTTAATTAAACCGTTAACTAAAGAACCAGATTCAAGAAAAAATAAAATTTTTGGTTCGTCCATTTCTTCCAAATTGGTATTCGTGAATTGGCTTTAACGTATTTTTATTAGATATATATATATATATATATATATATATATATTTATATTTAGATATATATATATATATATATATATATATATATATTGAGGGACGAGGTTTTCTTTCATGCAATCATAGTTGAAAATAGAAGCCCATTTTCCGTTAATAACTTTCTTTAGTAACAACTCAACACTTCTGAATTTTTTAAATTGATATTGATTTAAAATTTAAAATTTAAAAAACGAACAACATGGTGAGGCTAACAGCGCTGTTACGAATAATTCATCATCAAAGCCTATGTGAAAGTGAATATTGCAAAATATGAAATTAAAATAAATAAAATATGAAATTAAAATAAATAAATATGAAATATGCAAAATATGAAATTAAAATAAATATTAAATGTAAGTAAAATGTAATGGTATTATTAACCCTGCGTTTACCAACATTTTTTTATAGCGCTGATTACCAACGTGGGTCTGTTGGACCAACATATCGACATGTCATTAATTTAAACTAAAATTTAATTTTGACTCATTTTTATGTTGTGTTTCTAAATATAGCAATCTCCAAATAAGCAAAATATACAAAACCAAGAAATTTTTCTGAACAGTTAAAAAATAAATGTTTGATAAACAATGTAGTCACTTAAAAATCATAGATTAAATGTTGCAGTTGTTACAAATTACAACGGAATGCTCACAACAAATGTTTTTTTGCATCTTGCACATAATGATTTAGTTTTTCTGTTTTTTTTTATAACTACACAACACACATCGTTTTTTTCTCGCTGGTTCATCTATATTCAAAATTGCTGTAGGTTGCAGTGGCGCCTCTGAAAGCGTTAGTTCTTTGCCCAAATCAATCAAAAACTGCCTTCTTTTGATACTTTTTTCAGATTGCATTGATTTCCATATGATATAAGCGTTTAATCCACTTATATCTATCATGTTATAAAACACAACAAGTGGCCATCGTCTTGTCATCCGTTTAGTGCTATACCCTCTTGTCATCTGATCAATTGTATCAACTTCAGCTTTGGTTTTGTTATAATAAAGAACTATTTCTGGTTTCTTTTTTTCATTATTTTTATCATATTCTGGTTGGTGATGCATTGTACTCAACAATGTGACAGTTTTATTTTTCTTTGCCATATAAGAAACAATAGTGAAATTGTCCTTGAATCCAAACAATGATGAATATAAATCTCTACCTTTTGGAGAAATAAATTTATCTGGCAATTCCGGACGATTTTTTCTAATTGTTCCTACGATTGTCAGATTTTTCTTGAATAACTTTTCTGCCAAACCAATGCTCGTAAAAAAATTGTCACACGTAATGTTTCTGCCAGAATTTTCCAATCTCCTTATCAGAGTTAGGACCACTCTTTCAGCTTGATTTTTTTCCCTTGGGTTATCTTTTTCTTTCCCCTTATAAATTTTCAAATTCCAAACATAATTTGAGCTACTATCGCTCAATGCCCAAAATTTAATGCCATATTTACCTGGCTTGGAAGGAATATATTGACGAAAGGGACATCTCCCTCTAAAGGTGACCAACTGTTCATCAATAGTTACTGTATGACTCAACTTGTAAGGATCTTTTAAAGTAGAATTCCATGATTCAAATAAATCTCTTATTGGCTCTAATTTGTCTGGTGATCTATGCATCATCAAATCTCAGAACTCTTAAAATTTCATGAAATCTGGTTCTTGATATTATTTTATTGAATAAAGGTCTGCCATCACTTCCGCTCCATAACTGACTAACTGGTTCATTCTTAGATTTATATACACCAACTAATATGAGAACTCCAATAAACTTTTTCAGTTCATTGACACATAACTTCTTATAACCATCTTTCAACACCAGTTGTCCTTCTTGATTTGTGAAATGACATATTTGTTCCAACAAACTAGATCTGAAATAAATCAAAAAAGAAGATATTTAATCAACGTTATTTTTTGCATAATTGCTGAATCCTGGACTTTCTTTTACAATATTGAAACTTTTGGCACGACCTTGTGTATTTGTTTCTGGTGTACTATGCCACACAATTTCTTTATTTTTTGATAAATACGTTTCCTCATGCGTAATAGTATTAGCCATCAAATCAGATTTCATGTCATTTTCGCTTTCACTATTACTAACTTCGTTTTCTTCAACACAATCGATTTCATTATCATCATCTGATGCAACATAATCTTCGCAATCATCTTCCTCACTTTCTTCTAAAATCATTTCGCAAGCTTTACTTAGAGAAATCTTTGATTTTGACATTATAAGGAACAAAAACACAATTAATTCAAATAAAAAGATATTTATTAAATGGTTACTACCATGGAAACAACAATAAAACAAAAACAATAAATCTAAATAATAAATACTTTTTAAAAATGAATGTGGGTCCAACAGACCCTGTCGGTAAGTGGTGCTTGAATTTTTATAGCGTAATCACTAATGCCAAAAAATTTATAAATTTGCATTTTTTTTTTGACAATAAGTATTTAGAAAAAGTCAGAATTTTTGGAAATGTTTACAAATTTTTTTGTCTATCTACATCACATCAAACATCGAGGATGGGTCCAATGGACCCAGCTGGTAGTTCTAGGGTTAAAGAAATGACAGGTTGTAGAAATGAATTTATATTGTAAAACTTTGAATGCAATTAAAGCGAACCATTATTAAAATAATGAAAAGTTAAATAAATTAATATTGAAATTTAATTACTATAGAATTTAAAAACGGAGAGATAAAAATGAAACATATGTTAGTCGAATGTAAACAATTATTGTTAAAAAGTGGACAAGTATGGAAAGCTTGTGGAAAATTGCTAAAAATTTATTTATTGAATATGTTGAGATATATATAGATAATTGTAAAATCACAGGAAATATTGTCTATGGTATCAAATAATGAAGTCAACAACACCGTGACATTAGTCTTATGACGAATGGTCACATGGTCACCGTTCACAGGTACGATACGATATATTTTATTTGCTTCAAAAATAAGAAAAGAAGACAGGATGACCATGATCAAGTTATCAGGTAACTTATCTAGCATGGCCACCTTACAAATAGTTTTAAAAAAAATGAAATTTGAACTAAAAATTTCGTAAAAGGGAAATAATAATGTTCAGGAACTAAAATTGTTTTACGAATAATCCACTATATCTTTAAAAGTTAAAAATTAGAATTTTGAATTATGGTTTTGTAAATTGTTCTTCAGTTTGTTTTTAAATGTTGACAAAACTTTAGTACCTAAAACAGAATTCAAATCACAATTAATTATTAAGTTATTCCAAATCCGTGGTCCATTGCACAAAATATGAAAAAATAAAATATTCATTTTTGATTTATTACATCGTATTATGTTTTTGTGCCGTTATTAAAAACAAAATAATAATAATTTGAAATAATGGTTGGTAACAATCCAGCGTAATGCTTAAAGACAAAATTTGCGCATAAATACACATGGAGATTCTTATAGTTCAAATTACGCGTTGAAAAAAAGGCTCCTCTGATGGAGCGTTAAATTTTGAGCAGGTTATGGTCCTCATGCTTTTTTCATGAACCGTTGCAGCGGTTGTGTCAATGATGGATACGTCGATGCCCAAATGATGTTACCGTAGACGAGATGAGGAAAGCAAATTGAACTGTACAGAAGTCTTAAGGTACATCTTGGTAGAAAGAATTTTATTCTGCTGATTGCACCCAATGATTTGGATACTTTGTTTGTTTAGCAACTTATATGCTCTTTGAATGTTAATTTATTGTCAATTACGATTTCCAAGAATTTTGACGACTTAATTTCTGACATTGTTTCACCATCAACAATAATTTTATAAGGCTTTGTGATTTAAGTATTGGACTGGTTCAAAAACCATAAATCCTCATTTTTTTTAGAATGTTCCGTGGGAATTTGAGGCAAATTGTGCTGGAGTGAACAATTTAAATTAGAATCAGCCTGTACGGCAAATTTATTATTATTATTAACAGTAGATGTTAAATTAGTTTTGATTTTAGGAAAATCAAAACGGTTTATTTTAATTTCTGTTGGAGTTTTTACAGCTTCTGACCAACAACGGGATTAAACTTTGTCACACGCTAGTGAATTTAAATCACTCCTCAGAGCGGCAATTTGTTTATTGCACTGTTCAAAACATTTGGAAAACTGCACCTGTTGTTCATGCAGAATTTCTCGCACCTTATCAAATAGTTTTGTCACTAACATATGTTCATTTTCCGATAATAAATCAGATGAAGACAACGACGGTGGGGCCGTTGATGATTGAAAATTAAATGTTGAAGTAGTGTAGACGGGTATTTTTCCAAGTACGTTTTTTCGTTTAATTGTTGAAGAGTAGAAATGATGTCTGTCCTTTACCTTCTTGCACTAGTCCACCAAATGTTTTTATCCTTCTTCGAATAGCTTTACCCGAGACATTTCTTGTATCTCCTTACAAACTCACCAACGGCACTGCATATTATTCTGTCCCCTTCAAACGTTCAACTACATCGGGGGTGATAAGTAGCTTTTCGTGGGCATCTGGTATAATGGCACACCTAACTTCCACACTTGGTGCAATGACTTCACAGTGTTTTATTTGGGGAGTCACAGTTACCCAGGTAGCGTCAACCTTCTTACTCTGTCCATCCAATCCTACAATCCGTAGTTGGCCCATCCGCTCTAGATTTAAAGCATCAAATAATTTTTTACTGATGCAACATACCTCGGCTCCACTATCCACCAGAGCATGACAGAATTGTCTCCCCTGTACCTGGACCTTCACAAAGGGTCTTTTGAAAAATTTTCCAACTTGCACCCTTTTACCAACTCCATCCTGGGCCTGTTCATTCACTGTACCATCTAACATCTGGTTCACCTTGCATTTCATGATCCGTTTTACTGGTTCGTTCTTTATTCTCTTTGGATAATGCTCGGCAAGATGACCGGTGTTACCACAGCTATAACAACCACTTACTGACACTGGCCCCTTTTTTGTCTCCGTTTTCTGCCATCTCGAGTTCAGCTTATCCTGATTCGTCATCAGTCTACCTTATACCCGGCCGCGTGAGCAGTGGAACAGGTCATATTCATGTTGGCTTCACAGCTCTCCTGTATGTCAGCCATCTGGTCATGTGTAAACCAATCCTCACTCTCTCGCGTAAGAATATGATCCAATAAGTTTTTCGGCAGCAGTTCCTTCATACGATCTGCCACTAGAAGTGACAACGCTCTATCAAATGATTCGGCTTGCCGGCTTTGGAAGTAAAGTCTGAGGTAACTATGTAATCTGGCAGCTAATGCCGGAAAGGTCTCATCCTTCGATTTCCTAGATCCACAAAACTCGTCCCGCAGTTTCATAGGAGAGAAACGACATCGTTGCAGTATATGCTGTTTCACCACCTCGTAATCATACCGCTCATCATTATTTAGTTCGTTCATCACATTCCTCATTTTTACATCTAATTTGGATAGCAATATTTCAACATTCAAACTGTCCTTAACTTGAAACTTGTCAAACACGCCTTCAATGAGCTGGAAATATGGTGCAATCCTTCGCGGGTCAGACGAGCACATATCAATCATCGGCCCCACTCGTCCTTTGATTCCAATCGCGTACTTTTGCTGCTGTGTTCTTCTTCTGAGCTGTTCTTCCGTATCTTCCTTGTGTTCCATTCTCCGAATATTTACCTCTCTTCTGAGCCTTCTGTCTTCCTCCTTCTGTTTCGTTTCCTCCTCCGCCAACCTCATCCGCAACTTTCCTTATTCCTCCTTTTGCTTCGCTTTCTCCTCCATCAGTGGCGGACTAAGCCTAAAGCGGGCCCTAGGCAACATTGGAATTCCGGGCCTATTTTTCAGTAATGACAAATACTTTACGTTCGATAGTTTGGTTTTAATGAATATGGTATGTAAATCAGTTACCAAAATTTAAAAACAATGTACACAAATTAAAGAAACATCATTTATTAAAAAAACAAACATAAACGTAATTTATTAAACCAGTAATATAAATACACCAAGACTGATATATCTATATAATTGCCTTTTTTCTCACTTTCAGTTCTGCAAACTCGTCAATTAGTTTGTCATAGTTAATAGAATTATTCAACAACTCTTTTTCTATATAAAGTAATGATAAGCTATTTAATTTTTGTTGGCCCAACGTAGATCTTAAAAAATTCTTTATTCTACCCATTACTGAAAATGATCTTTCACCACTTGCATTGCTTACCGGAAGGGTTAAATAAATTCTCAGAATTACATTTAAATTAGGAAATGTTGCAATAATATTATTTTCCTGAATAAATGACCACATGGATACAGGCGAAGGCGAAATAATATTTTCTTTACTTATAAAAGTCTTAAATTGAACTACTTCGTTTTTCAGTTCTTCTAGGTTTAAATCTTGTTCATAACATTTTAAGTCCTGTAATGAAGAGTCATTGATTTCACTGTCATAAAAATTGTTTTAAATTTATTATTAATATTTTGTATGCTTCACATCTTTTCTTAATGTTGCTAATTAAAGAATCGCATACAACAAAAATAATATTCACTTTAAAATGTTCTTTGCCACTGAGTCTTATTTCAAGTTCTGGAGTTTCATCATGAAATAGTTTTCGTGTTTTCTGTCGCTTTTTATCATTAATATATGCAATATCTTTAACTTTTTCTGCTTCTTTTTCTAAATAATCAAAATCGTCTCTAACAGTTTGTATGAAATCTATTAGCGAATCATAAATTAGAACTGCTGTATTTAAGGATTCGTCTTTTTGCTGAAGAGTCTTGTTTGAAGCATCTATTCTATCTAAAAAGATTTCCCATATAGTAAGTAACAGTACATACTCAAATGTATCAAGTTTTTTGTATAAATCGGCAGCTTCTGATCTTGTTAATGGTTTCTCATCATTGTTTGAGGAAAAATGGCGTAAACAATGTTTAATTTCGTCATAATTTTCCTTCAAGGCTTTTACAGCATCGGAACGAGCTGACCATCTGGTGTCACAAACAGGTTTAATATTCAAGTGCTTGCTCTTACAAAATTTTTTTAATTCATTCCACCTATGTGTAGAACTTGAAAAAAATACGTACAATTCTTGAACGATATTGAAAAAAGGGGTTATTTCCATGCAACTTTCGGCAGCAGCATTTCCAATTAAATTTAATGAATGACTTGAGCATGGTATGAAATGAGCAGAAAAAATATGTTGTTTTATTCTGGATTGGAGTCCCTTATATTTACCTGACATATTAAATGCGTTATCATAACTTTGTCCTCGACAATTAGTGATGTCTAAATCAATGCTATTTAAAAATTCTAAAATAACTTTTTCCAAGTTATCACCAGTATGAGAAAATATAGGTAGAAATCCCAAAAATCTTTCTTTTATACCACTTGGAAGAACGTACCGAATAATAACTGTAAGCTGATCTACATGAGATACATCAGGTGTTGAATCAATAATTAGAGAATAAAATTTAGCTTCCTTTATTTCGTTCAGTATCGTGAGTTGCAAATCTTTCGATATAATCAAAATAAATTCATCACATATGGTAGATGACAAATAACTTATAGTTCCGGTGCCGCAATTTGCATATCTTTTCATGTGTTCACGCAAAAATGGATCAAACTCGGATAAATATTCTAAAGCACCTATATAATTACCATTATTTTCACTAAAAAGAACTTCATTTTTACCACGAAATGCTAAAGAGTATGAAGAAATAAATTTGATTGTTGCTTCCACACGTTTAAGTACCTCCCTCCAGTATTTTTTTTCATTCATAATTTGTTTTTCAGTATCATAATTCAGTATCAGTACGCCCAGTAATTTTAGATCTTTTTATATAAATTAAAATTGAGTTAATGTGGTCGCTGGAGTTTTCATGCTCTGACAATTTTTTATGGATATTTTTCCAATCATTCGTTCCTTTTGCCATTAGTGTTGTTTGCTTGGAAAATAATCTACAGACGTAACAATACAATAAGTTGTTGGTTTGAGTATAAGCCAGCCAATCTCTTTTAACTTTTTCTTCACTATTAATTGTTCTGAAGAAGGAAGCGATAGTTAATTTTCTTGTGAATTGTTTTGACCCTTCGTTGCATCGAATGGAAGATGATTCTAGAAATCCATTTATCGATTTTGGTGGATTTTTGACATAATACTCTAGCATGGCGTCTGTTAGGTATTCTGGTCATAAAGCAATGTCGTTTACAAAACTCTCAGTTTCATCATTACTTTCAGATGATTTAATATATATATCTTCTTTTGCTTCATCTTCACAATCGGAATTACTCAGTTTTTCCCGCTGATATTTCTGCTGAATAGATTCACATTCGTGTGATGCTTCTGGAGTTTGAGCAGGTAAAATTTGTGAAAATGATGATGATTGTTGTGATTTTTCGTCCTCCACAATTAAAAATTTGTTTAACGATCCTTTCATTTGTTCTGCAACTTTATCTCGATCTGCTTTTCGTTTTCTTTTTTCACTTCCACTTAAATGCTTATAGGAACTCATTATAAATTGAAGACCACGTACTAAAAATAAAAAAATCAATTAACATTATTTTTACTCAATTATAATAAAATCACAATTTGTAGTATTACTGATTTATAAAGCCCTTCTTGTGAGTAATCTTTAGATATCAGTATCAATTGAATAATGTAATGTAATATTTCCACAAAACTCACATTTTAAATTAACGAATTCCAGAAATTATTAACTATCAATCCAAAACTAAAAACTAAACAAATCAAAATCTATTGACAAAGCAATTTTATAAATGACCGATATTCAACTTTGACGATTTTTCAAAATGGCAGAAAACGGGCTTTTTTCAAATTTATAACACGAGATTAGTTCAATGTTCATTATTTCTTCCATCAACAAAGAACCAATGAGCATTTAATTATAAAAATTGAAAGTGAATAATTTAATACTTTTATAAAAACTCACATTTTTTTGTAGGAATTCCAGAAAATGAATCCAAAAAATATTTTGCAAAGCACTTTTAAAAATATTCGATTGCCGATTTTTCAAAATGGTTTCATTGCGCTTTCTTGTTAAATTTAGAATTTGAGATTTGTTCAATGTTAATGTTTAGCATTTCTATTAAAACCAAAAAAAAACATAAAAATATAATTATAAAAATTTAAAAAAAGTTAAAATCGAATTTCCGGGCCCCCAAAAATTACGGGCCCTAGGCCTAACCCTAGGCAATTGCCTAGTCAGCCTAGGCCTTAGTCCGCCCCTGTCCTCCACCAACCTCATCCGCAACTTTCCTTCCTCCTCATGTTGTGCGTCTTGCGTCTTCTTCCATTATTTTAATCTGCAGTGCCTGCACTGGGTCTAATCTACTCTCCTCTTCCTGATTAATTGTTTTTGGCCTCGTCGACCGGTCCATTCTGAAATGATTTACCGACTTTCTACCAACTTTCAAAATTAATAATTATTAGATTTTGTTTACTTTTATTATCGCGATTCACTTTCGTCACACCCACGTTCAAAATTAATAATTATTAAATTTTGTTTACTTTTAATACTCACCGCTGGGGAACTTCGTTTCACAGCTGTTGATATCTGTCGTACTTTCGTACTTCTTTTGACAGATGTCACACTTCTGACACCAAATGTCAGGGTTCGCCGACAGTTCCCTGCAATAAATATTATAAGCTTTCGTCAAATGTAGCAATGACTATGAATGTGGACACCGGCTGTCACGTTGTCTGTGGAACTTCTGGCGGTGGCTTCAACACAACGTTGACAAAACCATTTTAAACCTTTTACACTTCTCAAAATTTCAAGAATATCATCGTTAGTTTCACATTTATTGTGAACAAAAGTCTTGCAGCAATATATGTATATATATATAACAAAACATACAAAAAACACTACTATGAATCTACGAAAATTGATCCTTTAGCTTTCTTTATAAAAGAGGTGATGGATGAAAACTTTAGATTTTGAAATCCAAGTTCATTCTACATTATAATACCTTTTATAAACCAGGATTAATCATTTAATCCTGATCTACTTTTAGGTATTTTCAACATATTGTTCTGTCTTGTCATTGATGTAATTTTATCGAATACATACTGAATCCTATAAATAAAAATTGAAGTTACAAATTTATTGATCTGTTCAATCTTCATTAACTTCATCATACAATTTATGAAGTTCTAGCCAAACATCTCTGGCATTACAAAATGAACGAACTTTTTCATACATCTCATCGGTCATATTGGTTGACAGAATTTTCATAGCATTACCATTTGCTTTATTGAATTTGTTCAGAGCAGTTTGATATTTTGCTATCTCATCTTCATTTGGGTCATTGTTTAATTCATCTGGATCTTTTAACTTGTCATTTATTACGTTCATTGCATCAGGAATGCCGCGTAGTATTATACAAACTTTTGATTTCCAGTTCAACCTATTACTTTTGCTTTCTAGGTGTTTGATTTGTACTTTTGTTAGATCCATTTCTTTCTTTTCTTTCAATTTGACTTTAAGAGAATGAGAAAGAACGTGTTTTCTCTTCACTTCAGTTTTCAAAGAAAATCTTCCGATATTTTTTTATTTAAAATTTTTTTTTTGTCAAATCAATTAATTGTTAAAAATTGATGATTTTGAAAAGAGGTAATCACCAGCCGAGATGGATTCAACCAACAAACAACAACAACTGCACACAAATTTCTATCTGACGCGCCTGTTTTTTTTACCCATTAACGATGAGACAATGCTCCAAAGCACTTTAGAATTTCCGGAGTTTGAGGCAATTAACGACTCCCAATAACCTTGTTCTTTTGCAGCAAACAGTTTATGTTTCTTCAACGATTCTGATCTCTGCCGAATTAGGTCAGCGTGATCTCTAGTGCGACGATCAACCATCTCCAACCTGCGTACACAGCGTTTTATTATGTGGCAATTATCATCAAACCAGGGTGTCGATTGTACACAAATCCGCATTTCTCGTTGCGGTGCAAATTTGTTCATAAGTTCACGGAACGTTTCATCATACATGTCAAAAAGTTCGTCAATGTTGCGACCTACAAATTTCTCGTGAGTGGAAAGATTAGTTGTTGACAGTGCATCTTTTAATTTATCTATATTGATCCTTTTGAAGTTTCGAACTTTTTTGTTGACTTAGGTAGTTCAATATCCAGCGAACCATATATCAAACTGTGATCAGATATGATTGGCGGATCGACGATGATGTTGTGAACTCTGAACTCAAACCTGGTGATGATGATGTCCAGCAAACCACCTTTGTTGTGCCTTGGTGTTTGAACATGTTGAAGATAACCAAACATTGTTGAAAGTTGAATGGCATGCGCCTCTGTTTGATGTTCAAGATGTATGTTGATATCGCCCATTATGCCAACCTGTGAGTTTTTCAAGAAGTTGACGAAATTCATCGAAAAACGTTGATGTGATTTGTGATGAACCAGGTCTGTAGATGGCAGCTCAACTAATTTTATTGGAGCGAAATGGAAGCGATGATACACATAGGTATCCAAACGTCTTCGGATTAAATTTTATGTCGATCTTTGTAGAACGATAGGAGTCTTTCAGAATTACAATCACTCCACCACCAGGCCATTTGGCTGTTTGATTACTGCAGCTTTTTTTGTTTCTCTGGCAGCACCAAAGCAGCAATATCCATGTGGTACCGCTTGTTGAAGGAAAACATCTTCAGACGACACATTCCGGCTTTCGACAACTGACGTAACATCCAACTTTTTCCGATATTGAATCAGCCACAAAAATATATTTTTTGGCAAGGCTATTTCCATTTAAATGGCCAATATTTAATTTCCTGTTTTGTTGGCTGTTCACTTTTAATTGGTGACTAATTTTCGGACGCCACATACGAAAATATATACGTTATGTGGTCTGACCATGATAAATCAGAGCTCATAGTAACGCCTAAAAATTTTATCAAGTGAACTCTATTAATAATATTACCGCCAATGGATATGTCAAAGTTCATTAGGTTTGTGGTTATTTTGGGGCCAAATACTAAGAAAAATGTTTTATTAAAATTAATAACCACAACGCTGCTTACTGGAATACTTTTCATTTTTCTCCTTTAACATAATTTCCAACTTCCAAATTTCTGACAAAATCCTTTTTGCTGCAGTTAACTCGTCATGAAAAAAAAATTGAAGCGACATTTTGAAAAACGGTTTCGTCAAACTTACTTTTATTATCAAAAAAATACCAGAGAACCTCTGAAACAACCAACCGCCTAGACGCCATTATAGAAAAAAAAGAAATTGACATAATTCTGCAATTGATCCAGCCAATTTTTATTTTGCCATTTTTACCTATTTTTTTATGATTAAATCCGTTAAATTAGTTGGCGGATTATTTGGAATTCTTTTGATATTCAAAATAACAAAAGTGGGCAGTTGTTGAGCCATGTCATTATCCACTGAGAATTTTATTAATTCAATAATATCTAAAACTTTGTCAATTTCATTATTTCCTTTTTGTTTGTTAATGAATTTCTCTTTTCTCTGATTTTCAACTTCTATTAAAAAATTGTATTTGCAGTAGACAATTCCTCATAAGAAAAAAATCAATGAAATGTTTAAAGTCAACATTGTTTAAATTTATCAATATTTTCAAAAAAATACCAAAGAACTTCGGAGACAACGAGTTTCTTAGCCGCTATTACACCGAAGATACATACGTACAAACATACATACAGACACATACACACAGACACACACACATGCATACATTTAATTTATATAATTATTGTACATATAGCCTGTTGACCTCGAAGATCTGAAGCTAACGATATTTTGAACAATTCCCATTTCTAATTTGTTTAGTAGTGTTTTTATGTTTGGAGTTAATAATAATGCTACTCACTCTGGCCTGTTGAATAAAATTTTTTTGATGTTAGTTTTTTGATGTTGATAATGGTTTTGTGGTAGATGATGACGACGATGATGACGGTGGTAATGATAATGATGGATGGTGCTTTGTAAATGAAAATGGATGACGATGAATGTGAATAAAAACGACTAAGAATGATGATGATAATAATAATATTGATTTTGATACTGACAATGATGTGATAACATGTGATAGTGATGAAGAAGAAGAAGACGATGATGACGGTGGTGATGATGATGTCGACGGTAATGATAAAGGTGATAATAATGTTGACGATGGCGGTGATGATGACGATGATGAAGGTTTCAACAATAAGACCTGCATAGCTCACATGGCATATATATTCTTCATGCAACAAAATTATTTCATGCTGGTTTTTTTCATAGTTGTGAAGTTCGAAAGAAAAATTTAAAAGTTCGTAAAAGTTCGATAAAGTTCAAAGATAAATAAAGTTCAAAAAAGTTCATAAAAGTTCGAAATGCGACTGCCTCAGCTCAACATTAAATTATTTTATTTTCTAAATCAATCCGTCACACACAGAGAATATTACAACATGGAAGACAAAATGAAATGGTGAACTACAAAATTAAAATTTGAATAAATGAAAACATGTAAAAAAGCTGAAATTTTGAGGGAGATGACTTGGTTGTACCATGTAATGACAGAGAAGATGAAAAACATTTTGTCGTTCAAGTGAATTGTAAAGGAGAAAAACAAATAAAGTTAAAAAAAGAATACAAATCATATTTAAAAGCAAATGACTAAACAAAAATATTACAAAGGACCGCAAAAAATTATTTTATATAATATTTTATGGTACTAAGGCAAAAATGTTTAGAAAATATAAATTAAATCAAATGATGTTCCAGAAATAATTGAGACACAGTTACCATCTTAACAAAAAATTATAATAATAACAACTTAATAAAAAATTTGAGTTTTTTTTCTTGAAACTTTTTTATATAAAAACAAATACACATGTACATATATACATAAACATCTATCAAGTATTTTCTGAAGATTTTTCATAGCACTTAGAAAAACATTATAGACTTACAGTTATTAATATGTCAGTAATCAGTCCACATTGTCATCACTGTCAGCATCAGATGACCAATCGATATACTCGTCAATATAGTTAATATCTTCAATTTTTGTTACTAGCTGTAAGTTGCAATGTACATTAACAATCTTCTCAACCGTCTTGCATGCAAGTCTGTTGCGTTTTTTTGTGTGAATAAAGTCAAATGTTGACCAGTTACGTTCACAAGACCCAGCTGATGTGACCTGTGACAATACTCTGACAGCAATTTTTTGTAATTCAGGTGTTTGTGCACCGAATGACATCCACCACTTGTGGCCAGGCATCGTCTTTGCTGCAGCGATAGCCATAGGTCGGCCAAATACACCTTGACGAGCTCTATAAACCGAATGTTGTTGTACCACTTTTACCTGTCAAGTGTACAATCAATTTAATAATAGTTAAGTATTACAGTAATACTAAAGGTGTATGACTTAAAAATAAAGACCCGCTTAAATTACAAAAATTTATCTGTGAAACTTAACACTGGGTTAATAATAGTAGTTTCTAGATGCACATAAACATTAACTCACCTGTGATTGCACATCATCTCTGTACATCTTTTCAACAATGTTGTGAAATCCTGTCATAACTTCTTCATTTTCATGTTGTTGATATGCTTGATATTCAGGATCTAAAACAAACCCAGCTGAATGGAGATCTGTGTGGAGCATTTTCCATCTGTTACTGATAAGTTGACGAATGTTTTGTTTTTTTATCGTTGAAAGTGTACTGTTCTGTATTTCTAGATCAGCTGAAAAAATTTTCCAGTACAATTTTCCTGTAGATGGAACAGCACCGTCACACATTCGTAAAACAGCTACAAATGGTGCACAAATACCAACAACTTGCTGAACATCATCCCAAAACTTTTGTCGTAATACAATATTAGCTATCTCTTCTCCTTGGACTTTATATGTTTTTTTTAATAGCCATTGTTTGTAATCACGAGATACAACAGTTTCTTGTAATGCGTCTTTGCACTCATACAGTCTTTGCGACATTATGAACTGAGTCGCAAAACGTGTTTCTCCAGGTTTAAGCAACTCCAATTCCGAATGAGATCTGAAATATGCCAAAGATGCATGATGTACCGTTACAAACTTAACAACTTCATGACCATTATCAATTACTGAAGCAATCCACGACAATTTGCCAATATCCTCAAGTAGCAGGTCTAGACAATGCGCTGCACAAGGAGCACAAGTTATGTGCATATATTTTTCAGCAATGAGTTTTCTGGCTGCGACACAGTTGCTGGCACTGTCTGTAATAATCTGAACAATGTTGTCAGCTCCTACCTTTTCTATCTGCTCACAAAACTTGCTAGTGATGTATGAAGCATCTTTGATTTCACCTGAGGTATCACATGCTCCCAAAAACACAACCCCTTCTGGTGTTACAGATAGAAAGTTGATTATTGGCCTGTTTTGGACATTAGACCAACCATCACTTACCATAGTGAGTCCTGTGTTCACAGTGTCTGACAAATGACTATTAACACGAAGAGCAACAGATTGGACTTCCTCATCTAGCAAATTTGTTGATATGGCCTTTCTGCTCGGAGGAACGTAACTAGCACCGCACTGTGCTACAGATGTGCAAGCATCTTTAAAGTATTTACTGTCTGCAAGATTAAAAGGTAATCCATTAGCGTAAAACATTCTAGCAACTGCTCTATCTGCAACATTTTTTGCACACTTCTTCATCATGTCTGGCAACATTGATTGCTTACCAAAGCTGATATTATTTGATTTTGAAGAAGTTGATGATGTAGTAAAAGTAGATGATGTTATTTGATTTAATCTGACCAGCTGCTGTTTTTTCTTCTGATCTTCTTGGCGCTTGCTTTCAATTTCCAAAAATTTGGAGGCAACAATGTCAGGAACCTTACTACATTTCTTCAGACCAATTTTTTTATCTCCAATCAGATGACCACGAATTCGTAATGCACCTCCAACAAATTTTCTGTCACAATATATACATTGAATGGTTGGCAAGTTATCCGGTTTGTCATCACTGTCATCACTAACGCAAATTACATGTTGCCATTCAGGCCCTTTTTCCTTTGGCATGATCAAATTTGAAAAGTTTATCAACGATTTTCAGCCTTTAATTATAAATAACTTACGTACGCGTACAAACAGGATACGAATATAACAAACAACCTATCGCTCACAAAAACATTAGATAGTCAGGCACTAGATAAAATAGAATAAAAAGAATTATACAGTGAGAATGACCTAGTTTTTAATGTCGCTTAGGAGAGCATAGATATTATGTCATCAACGGTGGAGTTAATTTGCATCTTAATAAACTTGATTCAATATTTTTAAACATCAAGAAAGGCAATAACATGATAATAACGACGTTATTAAAACAAAGTTTATTGCTATTTAAATGTTTAAATAATTTGACTTTGGAGGCGAATTTTTGCAGCGATCATTTCATAGATATTATAATTATAATATCTATGTTTAAACTTGAACTTTTTGAACTTTATGGCCGAAGAATAAAGTTCAAAAAGTTCAAGACAATAATAAAGTTCAAAAAGTTCGAACGTCACAACTATGGTTTTTTTACTGCACATTAATTTTGCTCGTGGAGCTGATAACATACGTGGCCTACTCTATCTGAGCAACAATCATCTTGTCTAATAATTACAATCGTAATAATAATAATACTGCAGCTATTACTATTACTACTACTACTGCTTGTAATGGAAACTTTTTTTTATTTGAAAAAAATCAACATCATCAAAAAGAAAATTAAATCGTTATTAAGAAAAGAGAAAATTGTTGAGGGTTTTATTTACGTCATTATGAAGACTCATAAAATGTTTATTTAGCATCTCCATATAAAAGATTTAGTCAAATTGTTCCCATTTCAATGATGTCAAACTATTGAATTATAGCGTTCCTCATACATTTATTGGGTGTATCATCTGGCAATGGTGGTATTCAATGGTGTATCATCTTAAAGCATTTTATCAGTTCTTCAGGATCGTGGCGTGAATACTTCCCAGGGAACGATTTTGACATTGAAATCTTCATATTTTTTGAGTAGTTTGACGTTTAAATCTTTGTAAATTTTTGAGTTTGTATTGTTTGCTTTTTTTTATAAAAATTAGTCTTATGGCAAATTGTGAGTTCTAGTACGTACACGTTTCTATTTTCCGTTATGCAACCTGATGGTTCGAAAATAATAGAGATTATTTTAATTTCAGTCACCATAACATCTGCATCGTTGATCATTGATTCGAATAATAATGATTTATATGATGATGATTAAGATGATGATGATAATAAAAATATTGATAAAAATATGTGGAAGGGAAGAGACGTGAATTATTTGAATAACCAACCATGCAGATACTATCAGCTGTTCATTATTGCCATCAGAAAGGAATTGTGCACAGAGATCTCAAGGTCATTTGATGTTTTTACAGTGATAATGATGATGATGATATGTTGTTGTTGTTGTTGTTGTTGCTGCTGCTGTTGCTAGTACTGGTGTTGTGTTGTTATATTTGTTGTTGTAGTAGAAGAGTTGTTGAACCACTAGTTGATGTAGTTGGAAATGGAATGTGAGCATGCTGATATGCAATGAATGATGTTGATTGTTAGTCGCAACACTCAAATGTGACGTTTGGAATGACATTGAACAAGCCTATTGCTAGTCAGATAAAAAAATATTTATGCTGATTATAAGCTGCATTCAAAATTTAATTATATCATTTTATACATTGAAGTTGGCACATTTAAGATAATTTAAGTAAACTGTGTAACACCACTGAACCATGAAACTAATTATCATGTTGCATGCAACGAGAACACTTTCACACACACAGACGCACGCATACACACAGGAGCATACAAGTACACACATGTGTACTTAATACTTAATTTTAGAATCGTCATCACATCAAATGCACACAGGCAGAAAACCTTCTGTTAGATAAAGACTTGAACATTAAGATTGCAGACTTTGGATTTAGCAACGAATTCAAGATCGGTTACAAGTTGGATACGTTCTGCGGCAGTCCACCTTATGCTGCTCCAGAACTTTTCCAAGGTCAGTGTCACTTGACCACATGTGTGGTTTTTTTCTCTATCCTTATTTGTTAATAACGATGTTTCTCTATAATAACTCTATATAGTGTTTATTGACAATTACCAGATCTGCAGCCGCAAAAATGTTAATGAATGCAAATTTTAACACATCATCGCTGCTACTAATGTTTATAATTCAGTGTAAATAATGTTGTTGTTGTTGTTGTTGCGGAATGGAGGATTGTGATGGATTGTAATCATTCGAATAATAGTTTCAATAATTTATTATTATTATTATTATTATTATCATCATCATTATTATTAATATTATTATTATTATGGAATAGGCAAGAAGTATGACGGTCCGGAAGTTGATGTGTGGAGTCTGGGTGTCATTTTGTACACGCTCATATCTGGTTCACTACCTTTTGATGGCAGTAACNTCAAGGTTGGTGATGATGATGGTGGTGGTGGTGATGATGGTGGTAATGATGATAAGGATGATGATGATGATGGTGTTGATGTTGGTGATGTTGAAATTGATGATGATGGTGATGATAGTGGTGGTGGTGAGGATGGTGGTGGTGATGATGATGATGGTGATGATGTTGGTGATGTTGAATTTGATGATGATGATGGTGGTGGTGATGATGATAGTGGTGGTGGTGGTGGTAGTGATGGTGGTGGTGGTGTTGGTGATGATGTTAAAATTGATGATGATGGTTTTGATGTTGGTTATTGATGATGATGATGATGATGGCAAAGAACAATGATGATGGTTGTTTGATTTAGAAAGAGATTTTGGTAGTTTCATGATGCTTATTTTACATTATCTCATCACATTTATTTAATATTGTGAGTTTGCATCAGACCTCAGATCATTTCTAAGAAAAGATAAGGATGTTAATCCTTTTTTTATTTCTATGATTTATACACCATTTTAATTATTCGACGATCTGAAATTTTGTAATTCGTCATAAATCTAGGATTTTAATATAAAATAAACTACGCAATTAGTGATGAAGATGTGAGTGAATGTGGCTTTTCAACGTGGTTGCTGTGTAATTGTTTCTGAATAATAAATAACCTGGCTCTTGTGAATTCAAGATTGTTGTTAATCATCTACTCATTCAAAGTGTTCTTTCATCTACTCATTCATTTAATGGCAATTTAATCAATCATTCATTCATTCTTCTTTTTTTTCATTCTTTTATTTATTTATTCATTCATTCATTCAATGTTCAATCAGTCAAAAGAGTTGAAACGCCAAAAAATCACATTGCAGGAGCTTCGCGAGCGAGTGTTGAAGGGCAAGTACCGAATACCATTCTACATGTCCAGTGAGTGTGAACACTTCCTCAAGAAGTTCCTCGTTATCAACCCTTCTAAGAGGATTACACTTGATGTATGTTGTTTCTGTCGTTGTGCTGGTTTTGTTGTCGTTAGTGTTGTTGTCGTTGTGTTGTTGTTGTTGTTAGTGTTGTGTTGTTGTTGCGGGTGTTGTGGCAGTTGTTGTGAAGCTCTCTTCCTTGCAACGTTATTAAATGTTACTGCTGAGATTATGTTAACCTTAATAATTAGGATAGGTAGGTAGGTAGGAAGGAAGGATGGAACTAACTGGTGATGATCATCCATATCATATATCCAAACTTAACTAGTTTTACTACTTAACTTAACAAACTTAACTTTTTTTATATGTCCTCTTTGTTTCAATTTGTATATTTTCAATGCAGTTTTGGTTTTTATTGCAAAAGAGAATCATATAGTATACATACATTCAATTTTCTACATGGTGAGACTGTGTTCATCTTTGCGGAGATGTTCATCTCTGATCATTTCCATTCTATTCAATGTCTTCTTCAATTACTTGCACATCACACTTGATTTATAAGAATATCCTTGCTGGCACCTCTGCTCAACTTTTCAAATGACTTTTAAGATTGGTTTTTGGTTCTTTCGTGTTAAAAATTTCTCAATATTGCATTATGTGAGTAAAATTAGATTTATTATTTAACATGTTAGGAGCTTGTTTGGTCTTTCAATGTTTCTTGCTGCATTGTTTAACTAGAAATGTTTACACTGTATCTGCATTGTTTTTCATCAGTGCCAACTTGTATAATATCTCATGTTATCTTATGCTGTTCAACCAAATCAAACTGCAAGTGTTTTTTTTTGTAATGATCAATTGGTATTTTTATCGTTGATTGCGATCTATTTATACATTCAGAAACAGTTATCAATGTATTTACACGAAATATTTATTAATTACTTTTTCATTTATTAATCTATAGAGATTTGTAAGTTCTGGAAAATATTAGACCTCTAATTTTTCTAAAAAGTATTTTCACAATCTATTTTTTCCTTTTAATAGTTGCAGTCTATTTGAATGAAATTTATTTAAACTAAAGTCAAAACAAGTTTTGTGGAATAAGTAAAACAGTTTTTTGAATGTCCAAACAAAATAGTGTGCCATGAAAGAAAAGTGGATGAATGTTGGATTCGAGGGTACCGAGATGGAGCCATATAAGGAGGTGCCTGGCACCATTGATGAGAAGAGAGTTGGTATGTTAACGTGTGTGTGTGTGTTTGTGTGTTTGTGCGTGTGGGTCATATTAACTAAAAAATGACCAGATGTTAGGCTGCATTGTTGTTAGTTGGGATGTTTTCAGTTGTCATGTGGCAATGTTGTTCCAGCGGTGCTCTACTTGAAGCTTAGTTGGTTGAAGTGACCACTGTAGTTTTGTCTTGATATCATTGGTCTTGATCGATCTCTATATTTATGTGTCCTCCAGTAACAATGGCGAAGATGGGGATAGGCCGAGGACAGATTGAGCAGTCGCTGAACATGTTGAGGTTTGACAGGGTCTATGCCACATATCATCTTCTTGGTATTCCAACACAACAGGTCAGTTAAACATTCATCGATTTTAATGGTTCATATTGAAATAATTGTTTTAAGAAAGATGTTTATATGATGGTTTGTAATAATTTGTCCAACTGACATTGCAGAAAGTCGACCTGCCGACGCATCTGTCGGGTCCCGTACACTACAGACCAAGTCCTGTCTATTCTGTTGAGACATCGTCTCGCAACAGCAATTACTGCAGCAACAACAATCAAAGTAGCATCACCAACAACACAAACACCAACACGTTAAGCAACAACTACAGCAATAACAACAATGGAAACAGCGGTAATAGCAGCAGCAGCAACAAATATAGCAGCATTCATCCATCATTGTTGTTGACGTCTACGACACCGTCGACGACATCTGCAACAACCACCAGATCGAACATGATTACGAATGGAGGTAGACACCATCAGAGTAGGCCACATACGTTCGTTCTCCCACCTCCTCCACCTCTCCCGTCCTCTTCACTGCTACCCTCGTCGTCCTCTTCGTCGGCAAGCAAGCAGAACAACAGGAATGGAATCAACAGCAACAATAACAATCAATTCGAAATCGGTGGGCTTCTGTTCTTACTTCTTTCTATGTCTGTTTTTTACTGCTGTGAAGTACTTTCTGTTGTAGATTGAAATCTTTTGAGTTATATTTTGGCATCATTTTCATCCTGTTCTTTCCATAACTTCTACTGCAATCATTTACAATAGGTTATCATTCATTGCTTGGTACTGACAATATAAATTCTTATTTATTTTTTGTTATTGATTTGGCAGTTGATTTATTGACCAACTTGTTTATTTTAAACACTTTTATTTTTCTACACACATACGTATTAAATTAAATTTATTAGCACTAATTTTTAAATCATCATAATACATGATGAGCTCAGAAGTTTCGACAACATTTCATTAATTTTACACAAAAATTTGTTCCTCATCCAATTAATTGCATTCGTTATTTAGCAATTAATTTGCATTTGAAACCAAGTGACCTGCGTGCTGCCGACCAAGCAATCAGCCCACAACAAGTACATGACCACGGCTCCAAATGCTTCATCGAAAGATTACCACTGTGACGTCATTGAGGCCATCAATGGAACTCTACCTCGCAAATATTCTGAAGACTTGAAGGTGCCAGTTCATTAGTTCTCAACTGTAACTTTATATACATTGATTGATAAATGATTTTTCAGGTTTTAAGTTATATTTAATGAATTGTGAAACATTTGCTATAAGGAAATTAATTGTAATTAATGTTGTTTACATTATGAGAATATTTTATTTTTTGTCAAAAATATAGGCAAAGGAGAAGAAAGCAGCATATAGAGTGAGCACAAACTTAATTCTTTATTTTATTGTTTATTTATTTATGTGTGTAATTGTTTTATTTTATTGTTAACAATTTCAGTTAATTTCATAAAGTTAATTTACATTTATAATATTTCTTATTCATTCCATTTATTTCATCAAATAACCCTTGTTACTCGTTTCCTTTCTTGTATCCATCCATCCATCCATCCATCCATCCGTCCATCCATCTTCCTTATCTAATCTTTCTATTTTTCCTTTACCTCTCTTCCAGTTTACCATCTTACACATCACGGCTGCAATTTGCAAGCATTATTCCACGAACATGGAAAAGTACAAACCCACATGCTTATTGTCACTACACGCATGCTAATATGTACAATCACACATGAACTTACATGCATAAGTTTGTTTACTAACATTCAGGCATATGGGCAGTGCATGCATACATACATACTAGGGTGTCCCAGAAATGCACGGAAAATTTTTTTTTAATTAGTTGATATCTCACCCTCTGAAAAGTGTCTCTTGGGTATAATAATTAAATTGGTGAAGTTACAGCTCATTTGAACAAGTTTGAGAGGTCCCCCAAGGGCTTTTAAAATTTTACTATCGAGTTAATTCAAAATCCATATCAATAATCTTAAACAATATGCACAAAATGAGTGAAATAAAGCTAGAAATGCAAACTAGTTTAATTATCTCACTGCAGACATTAATTATGGTTTAAAATATTATTAACAATTACCTGTAGAATGGGTGAAATTCTTTATTAGAGAATGCAAAAAATGTATATTTTTAACCAGTCAACTCGCCATGTTACTGGTGTGGTCAACGTAGATCGGTTGCCTGTCCTGCTCTCATCACTTGTTGATGGCACTACAAAACTTCTTGGAGTTCCAAGGTTAGCATCTGGATTAGGACGATCAGCTGCTGATGCAGTTCATGAACATAAAATCTTGAAAGTGTGAATCAATGGTTATTGGCATGTGCTTTGACACGACAGCTTCCAATACTGGAAAACTCAATGGAGCTTGCACTCTTCTAGAAAAAGCCATGGGACGTAATTTAGTATGGATGGCTTGCCGTCATCATAAGTTTGAAGTGCTGCTTGCCGGTGTATATAGTGTTTGTCTTGGAACATCCACTAGACCAGAAATTTTATTCTTCAAAAGGTTTCGTGAAAAATGGACAGAAATGAATCACACACCAGAAGCCAGATCAACCCCTTTGATAATTGTTTCAGATGCAATTAAAGCATTCATCAAATGTCAACTTGAGGTCAGACATTCTTGAGATGACTATTTAGAGTTTCTACTTCTTGCTGCACAAATAGCTGAACTGCAGGTTGATGTAGCCATTCGCAAACCTGGTGCACGGCACAGGGCACGATTGATGGCAAAAGCCATCTACGCATTAAAAGTTGAACTATTATTCACCGTAAATAAAACCATTTTTAACTTAAACAGCTCGAGAATTACAAGGTATTCAACGTTTGAATCGGTTTATCATTTGTGTTTATCTTCAGTCGTGGTTTTCATGCAGGCTCACTGCTGATGCAGCTGTGAATGATATTTTGTTGATACAGCGTTTGCATGACTATGACGATGCAGTTCTTGGTTTGACGATTAAAAATGATGCTGCGTCATTTTTGGTACATGAGTCCAGAATTGGCAACTCTTGTTCTTTTTTCATCTCTTCTGTATGACAAAAAAAAAGACTGATCTTGTCCGCACAATACAAGCAGATCGAGGCCCACATCTGATGAAAACACTACCACAAAGTTTTGACAATTTGCGTGCGTCTAAAACATTTTTTGAAACATCTAATATTGATGCCAGTTTTTTTGATGTACTTGTTGAAAACTGGTCAGATACTCCTTCTTTCCAAGTTGCAGCAGTGTTTGTAAAGAATCTGGTTTGCATCAGTGACTCTGCAGAACGGGGAGTAGCGTTGGTACAACATTTCAATGAAACAATCACCAAAGACGCAGAGCAGAAACAATTTTTGCTTCAAGTAGTTGAACAGCATAGGAAAAACTTTGCAGAATATAATCGTGAACTGCTAGCAAAAATTTGAATTATTTGCATTAAACTTCAAGCGAACTGAAATTCAATAAAATCTTGTTTTTCAATCATTTTTGACCTAATTTTTAAAATTAAAAAATGAAAGGCATTGCAGATTTATATATTTTATTTCATTTGTATAAACAAATCATAAAACATTTATAATCATATCATATAACACTGTATCAAAAGTTGGTAGCGAACGATCAAACACCAAAATCGGAAACTTTCGACCCCTTGGGGGACCTTTAAACATTGTCCAAATGGGCTAAAATTTAGCAGGTAAATTACTGTTACCATACAGACATATTTAATGGGGTGAGACATCAATATTTTAAAACTTCATATTTTTGGGACACTCTAATACATACACATACAAATATGTATGTGTACTTTTTCAATAGATGTAGAGATCATAATTTTCCGTTTTAACTAAGACATAAAAATTTTGAAAACTCCTTTAAAAACTAACTTTTTATCTATGACAGAATGCTTCATCTTGAACTTATAAGCTATTTTGTTTGTTAGTATTGAACAACAACAACGTCTTCCTGTTTCTTGTATTGATTGTTGTTTATTTGTTTATTTAATTGAACTCCATGGCGTCCCTTTTGTGACATGAACAGTAAATATGACGCATTAAATAACAATTTTCTTCTAGGCGAGTATCATTATTTTATATTGTCTACCTAAATGAATGAGGGAATGTATGAAGAAATGAATGGAGGAATGAAGAAATGAATGGAGAAATGAATGAATGGAGGAATGAATGGAGGAATGAATGAATGAATGAATGAATGAATGAAAGTTATTTAATTTCACAATCAACACGCTAACTTGACTGTTATAGCACTGCTACTAGCTACTATTATTATTATTACTACAAATATAGTAATAATGATTATGATGGTGATGACGTTGATAATGATAATGATGGTGACGATGATGATGACGAAAATATAATAATTTTTAAGAAGAAAAGGTTGTTTTGAACATTCAGAAGAACCGAAATTGGCATTTTTCTACTTATGTTCTTGCATGAATGAACCAAAGATTTTTAATTTGTTTTTTATGGATACGTTTAAAAGACGACTGATCAATGTTTGAGGATTTCGTGTTTATTTTGATCTACTTTGGTTTATCATCTTAAGAAGCAGCAACTCATCTAACTTGATTCAACTGATGTTTTATGAAGATGTAGATGAGAGTGTTACATTGGATTCTAAGCAATCCAAATGTGTATAACTTTAATTATTATTATTTATATTAATACAGAGAAAGATAAGCAGTGGCGTAACGTTTATAGTTAAAAAATAGACAATCATGTGACCTTAAATTTAATCAACCATCTAAACATACCACTGACGAATACAATTACGTGGGTATTGGGTAAGAAGTACATACAAGTGCAAGTACGAGTCACAATGATACAGCAGCTTACGCACATTCACACGCTGCTGACCCATTTTACTTAATGCAATTACAAACACACTTTGTATTGTAAGTGCGTTCTATTCAAACAGAACTTTGTACTCACGCATTCACACGTGCAGACAGTAGACGTAGATCCAACAGGTTTTTTTTATAGCAGAGACACACGCACACCGCACACACACACACACACACACACATGCACAGGCAGCATTAGACACGTGCACACGGATATAGACACACACACACACACATTCACATTTGACAGGCAGCAGCATCAGATACGTACACACACAGACGAACACACTCAGTGGCGGGAAGTCATTCCAGATCACACCACTACCCTCCACCTGCTTCACCCACATCTCCTCTACCCAGGTCAGATCGGCCAGTCACATACTCACTCTCATTTCATTTCAGGATCATGCACATAGTAGTCTTCACGGAATGCCTATTTTAAATCAACATTCAATTTTTATTTCTATGTTGCCATCATGTGTGTAGTTGTGTGAATCCACATCGACTTTACGTTAAAATTTTTCAAATTCAGTTTATCTTTAATTATAGTACAATAATGTGCAAAATGAGGTATTACGATGACCTATTTTTTCATATTTCTACGTCATATTGTATACATTGAGGATAATGACTTACGAATGTTTCATTGCCATGCAGTACCTCTCATTTCAACCCACTAACACTGAGTAGCAAGTCGAATCGAACGGCTGCCCTGCACCAGCAGATGAACGCGGCAGATGTCAGCAACAAGACTCCATCGTCTCCACCGCCATCTCTACCACATTCTGTGCCTTGCAACATCACGGTCATCAACAACTCCTTCGTGTAAGTCATCATCCATCTACAACTCAAGCTATTGAACTACCCGTACTATATCTATACTGTCTATATTATAGATCGATATATTTAGGGCGGCGTGATGGCCTAGTTGTGAAAGGCGCTTGGTCCAGTTTTGCAGTGCGTGTCATAACATAACCAGGTTCTAACATGACCAAAGAATCCCATTTATAACATGCTTCGTGTGTGATGCGTCGTTTAGCGCGTATTCACATACGTTGTTTTTTTTTGCGCTGTTGATTCCTCTGAACTTTGGAAGAGAGTATAAGACCTTTAACCTCTATATTTTCAATAATTGCATACCAACCACTACATCTATCGTTATCATTGTGATCAACCATATCTACCGTTGCCAACATTATCATCGAACACCACGATTTTCATCATCATGCAAACCCTACATTCATCATCGTCGTCGTCATCATTGCAGATCAACCCCAAGAAGTGTGTGGACAAATCGTAGTTCATCTCGTTCCACCTCGACAACCACGAACAATCGCTTCCCACGTCAGCAGCCAACAAGGCAGAGCACGGTGGGCTGCACGGGGGGCCGCATAGGGTCGCCCATCTCCAATGATGCAAACATCAGCCCTCCAAATTATCAGAGCAGCAACAAGAGTGCAGGACCCATTTCTTTCTTTAACAAATTAACCCTCAAGTTCAAAAAGTGATTGCCGTGTTGATCTTTGCATGAGGAGACTACGTTTAATATATATTTCGTGAAATTGCACAGAGCTGTTTACACATGATGTCGCTCGTGCACACAGACGTCGTCGTTGCTGTTATACAGAGCACGCTTCTTTTATTTGCTTGGTGTATTTTGTCGTTGTTATAATACATTGTTATATATTCCCAAATAACGCCATAATATCGATCTGAGATTTGATGTGGAGTACATGCATTGTACACACGCTGACGCAACGCATACATATCCTTACGTTCGCACACATAATGTATACATGCATGCCTGCTTCTTTATCTTTCACTTTCAGTTTATTCAGATTTAGTTTATCCACCGCCGAAGAGGGAAGTGTTTCATGCGTTCATTCAATGCATTCAACGTGTCCAACAACTTGTCCTCTGTTTCGTCCTCGCTGGTTGTAGCCTCCTTCTCAATGGCATTTCATCATATTTTTATATTTCCTAATGTTTCTTGTCGTGTTTTTTAAAAGATTGTCGTCAAAATACTATCATCGTATTTTAGTATTCAAACGTTTCATTGTGACAAGTATGGTTGGGCAGTGAAATCTGAGTACCGTTTCATTTCCTCCACGATATTAAGTCACTCCAAACTGCCATCATAGCAAATATAAATTTCCTTCTTGTCTATTTTTTTTACTTCCGTTTTGCTTACTGTCATTCATATTTTATCCTATTTCCTAAGGCACTATGTATATATAAATGTATAAATGTAAACACACACACACACACCACACACACACTTTACATGTATGTGTATCCGTTGGATCTGTGTATGCATTACATATGGACAAGTATGAAAGTAACGACATTACGATACGACACAAACTTGACTTGTTTCATGGGTTAGCGAAGTCGGTCGATAAGTACTATCAGTTATTTCTTCTTAAACATAATATTTCGCAGGTAATCAACCAGGGGAATGAAAGATGTTTTATAGCGATTTAGTTGAGATTTAAAAAGAATGTCTGATATAACCACTATTTTCATAACATAATTAAAACATCTTTTCAACACGATGCTTATTTCTCTACCAATAACAGAACATCTTTAGTAAATAGTTTATGATGGTAATGTGTTCTTCATCTAGTTCAGTACGTGTGCACTTGTCTCGTTTTTCATTATTCATATACTTTTTTAATTGTCAATTAAGCAGCTCCTACATTTACATTACATAATTGCTTGCATCTGATTCCTTGTTCCAAACTAATAGATAATTTTTTTGAATAATTGTTTCTGACTGTGAGAGCTACTTATGCACACCAGAGAGTAGTAACGTTCATTCGCTGGTGTGCTGCGACGTACCCGCAGACCACAGAGTTTCACATATTTAACATTCATATCACATCACCCTGCACGTTTAATTAGTCGTTGAACCATCGGTGCGCGACGTGCCATGTTGCATCTTACATTTCTATGTCAAACCTAGCTCACCGATCATTGTATTCTGATTCGTATATTGATAATAACTAAGAAAATGTATTACATTTATTTAATGGTTCATTTGTTTACTCGTCTGAAATATTTTTTTGTTGCTTCTTGTACGTTATTTCTCTTCACGATGTTCATTTATTTGAAGATTTGTTCAAATTAGCGTATAAATCAAGCGCTTGTGCTCGGTTGAGAGTTTTTAGAGTATTTTTGTTTGTTATATTCCATAGTTAGATTAAAAATACAAGTTCCCATGAATTTTGTGCTTGCTGAATGCATTCAATTAATTATCTGGTCAGATGTTTGGAGCTCGTGAATGTGTGATGTTTGTTTAAAATTGTCCAAAATGGAAACGCGGTAGTAATTTTTATTAGTAATAAGGCTGGGCACATTCTATTAGTCATTTATGTAATATGATGATGCATCTTCCATCGGAGAGGCATGCAGCGTGTAATGTGAAAGATATGCAAATGTCTCTACTTGTGCAAACATGTCTGCATTTAAAACATTAATCTCCCTACTGACTTTTTTACGGATTTTTTGTTGTTGCACATTTTTTCAAAGGAATTGTATTATACTCAAGTTTATTGTTTTGCTATTCTTTATTAAACTGTAACATTTTCAGACATTGGAATGATCAAAATTTGGATTTATTGCTCTAATAGAAATTGACCTTCTTGCACTTTCATCTTTGCTCATTTTTCATTGATTTTGACTTTATTAATTATTAATGTGTATGCAACTGATGGTAGATGTACCAGTTGTACGTAAGATCAACAAGTAGTGGACTCAATATATATATATATATATATATATATATATATATATATATATATATATATATATATATATATATGCGCTGGAAGGAGACCATATTTTATACAGTATTGTATGAATTCTACCGAATTGTTTTCATTAATCAATTTAAAGTTTGTCTTTTCAATTTTCCTAGCTAGAATTCTGTGAAAATTGTTCAATTTATTGAAAATAGAATTTTATCGAATTTAATAAAACTGTTGTATTTACAATATTATATATATATATATATTTATATATATTTATATGTGTGTATGTATATTGCATACGCGTTATATTTGTTTTGTTTTTTGTGTGCAAGAATCTTGTTAATTGTTTGGATCTGATTTCGTTTTGTTTTTGAACACGAGGTTATTGTAACAGCAGGAGAAAATGTTAACAGTTGAGAGAAGTGTCATGGCGGCGATGATGTGTGATGATATGAATTATCCTTGCCTGTTGGATCCGATGTTAGATAGTTGACTAGTTGGTTTGTTGGTTGGTTGGCTGTCTAGTTGGTTATTTGGTTGGTTGATTGAAAGTATGATAGCAAAAGCTAAAAGTTGCAGTTAGTGAGATGAAACTGCATAAGACCTAATGGCGATGGCAAGGATGGTGACGATGACAATTAATATGATTAAGATAGTAACTGACACTACAGCAATTTATATTTTTATAAAATGTTATTTTTTCTACACATGTCTTTATTACTATTTACATATTTTTTATTATATAAATCATAAAGTTTTGAATAATCGTGTTTTTTACATATATATTGTCTAATTTCTTAGCACATGCGCTCGTACGAATACACACACACACACACACACACACATATATATATATATATATATATATATATATATATATATATATATATATATTGTATATTTATGCGTATATGCATTTAGTCGGTTGTTACTAACGAACGAGAGTTTTGTCATCTGTTCACAGTTTGTTATCTATCCCGTTTTTAGTCATCTTAAAGCTTTCTGCTGGTGTTTGTTGGTTTGTGACGACGATTAGGAGTTTGTTTTTTGTAATGTAAGTGTAAAATATTTATAGTTGTAGCCCCCAAAAAACTAACTGGCAGACATCTTTTTTCGAGATGCTAGTGCTCATATAAATACAAAATGCTTCTTTTATAGTTTTTTTTTCATTCTAATGTTTCATCATACAAGCATCCTTGAATTTTATTAACTCATTGACGTTCAAACGAATGTTCAACTTTTGTACCCACTTTCGTTATTTTATTACCTTGTTTCTTATTACAAATATGTAGTCATTTTTTTAATTTATATCATATCTATATAGTTATATATATATATATATGTATGTATGTATGTGTTTGTATATATGTAATCATTGGTGTGTTCTGATTATAACAATAATTACGTAAAATCAATAAAGTTTCATTGATTATAGTTAATATTTCAATTATTTTCCAAATGAGTTTTACGTTTATTGCAGTTATGTGTATACCAGATTTTGAATTATTGAATTAATTGATTTTTAACTGAATATATAAAATCAGCATACGTTTATTTACAAGAACAGATTTTTGGTAAAAAATTAATTTAATCAGAATTTAAAAGCAGGCATGACATTTTTTTATATTTAAATCTACTTTTCATCTTTCATCGTGACGTAGTTCTTGAAAATTTTTCCACTTTCAATTTTATTGAAATTGAAATATATATACTCGTGTGAAATTAAATTTAAAATTAGTTAATATTCATGCATTTATTTTTTAAATTAGTTGTAATCTAGTCGCGTTTTTTGCTACTTTTAACATTGTTCAATGTTGAAAGTAGTGTTGAATTTTTGAAATGTTGCGTTAACAACAGTCTGTTACCAATATATATATATATATATATATATATATATATATATATATATATATAT